AACTCTGGGTACTATTTCACAGTGTACTGATGAATAGAGAACTATATGCCCATTTTTTTTTTACCACTGAAATATACAGGGATTACCTTTATACTGACAATATCTTTCACAATAAATTCTTAAATCAAAAACTACATTTCCTTTTTGCTTTCTAATGTTTCTCAATGAGAATCAAGACAATGGTAATAATTTGTTTGAAACTCTTGAGTATCTGTGTGAAGGAAGGATTTCAATGTTAGCCATATAGCAGGTACTTGATAAACATTAACCAAAATTGCCCCAAATTGATTGTTCTGGGAACTTTACCAATATGGAACCAAAACGGGAAGGAAAGCACAGAATTAGTGGGATCTTTTAAACTCTCTTCTAAGAATACAAGAGTCATCAAGAGTTTAGATGTAGGACACTTAGCCACGCCCTCTCTGATAGTTACACGTTCTAACCAACATTCGCTACAAATGTACAAAGAGGATGCCAGCCCCGAGGAGACCCTGGCTGTGGCACATGAGTTATCTTTCAGCAGGTGTAGCCATTCAGAGCCAGAAAGGCCGGCAGGGTGGAGAGACAGCACCTCGGGCAGCCCTGCCAGCAGCCACTGGGTTTCATCCTTGCCTGACCCAGAAAAATCTCATGGAAGAGAACAAGAGGCCCAAGAGCTCTCTGATCTGCTGTCAGCCAGCTGCAGCCCGGAGACTGCCAAGTGCAGCAGTGACTCGGCAGGCCCTACGGAGCCGTCTGGGAGGGGATTACCAGCCTGATCCCCTGTCTTTAGAGCCAGCAATGACTCAAACTTCACAAACAGCCAGGGCCTGCCAGGGAGGGTGACAATGAGCACTGGAGAGGGCTTTCTCCCCCTCGTTGGTGTCTCTTCCCCCTTCTTGCTGCTGTGGCGGATCCTGGACAGTGTACAGCCTGTGAGGTAATATGAATTCCTTGGCAACCAGCAAGTACCTGAATTCTTTCAAAACCACAGGAATCCAGCAGAGAAAAGGTAAATATCCCTTCGGAGCCAGTGTTAATTAGCAAGGAAGGCTACTGAAGAAGGAACTGGGGGTGGGGAGGAAGGGAAGGCATTACAAATGCTTTGGGGTCTTTCGCTGAATACTGTGGCTGAGGCAGAAAAAAGACAGTCCCCGAAGGGGCCCTTCCCAGTGTCCTCGCCTCCCGCCTCCACAGCATGTGTGGAACTCTCCCGGTTCCCTGGGGGGGCACCTTCATTGACCCCCACTTGCGAGTGCTACCTATCTTTGGGTCTCTGACAACACATTTGGTTTTCAACTCAATTTTGTTTCAAGTTTTTTAACTTTTTTATTTTTCCTGGTTCAGTGAAAATTTGACTATTAGCTCCATCTCAAAAAAAGGCCCCATCAAATCATTTAGACCACATATTGGATCCACCTAAAACTGTAAAATCCAGGACAAAGTCTCTTTTGGATTCCACCTCTGAGAGGAAAAAAAAATGTACACCATTTTGGTAGAGAATGGCAACCCTCTCTGGAAAGGGAGTGTCCCCTGCTGGTGCAAAGCAGCAACACACTAGTGAAATTCAAAAGCAGGGTGGACCTTTGGAGCAAAATGCTCAACCCAAATGCCAGAAAGACAATTTTTTAAAACGCCTCAATATTTTGCCCACGTATAAGAAAATAATATTTTTCCTACTTCCTATGTTAATAAAACAAGAACATCTGCAATTACTAATCTGGAAAAGCTATCTAGGATCTTTTTCTTTAGTAAGTTTAAGAAGGTAAAAAATTTACACAAAATACTTATGTCACAAACTGTCTTAGGAAATTAACTTAATCATTCTGTCACCTAAGCATTCACTTGAAGCCCAAAACAGAAGTGATATGGGATAAGACCACTCTTTTCTAAAAGAGAAAACCAATTATATTTGCTGCCAGTTCTGTCTCACTGGAAACATTATGGTTTTCCTTGTTGAGCCTCGAAGTAAAATGGCCTAGTGAGCTCACCCCAAACTGATTATCCTCAGCAATGTCTACATAAAACACACGTGACCCAAGATTACTCGAGGCTGCAGATCTGGAGATGCTATAGACTACCGCCAAATGTAATGACACAGGCGAACAGATCCTGAGGATTAAAAGGCAGCAGACAGATGCCAAAATACACAGCGAGTTAAGACCCAGGAACACAGGCACATGGAAGTTACTGGATAGAGCCATGTGCCCTTGCAGGCCTCTGGCTAACAGCCTGTCAGCAGGGACTGTCCTATTGTAAGACTTTTCTACTCACATATACTTCTAGATAAACTGAGCCAAAGCCCTGAAAATTCCTATTTCTTAGTTCAATTTGACTTGAGTTCTTTAAAAAGCTATTTTCCGAGTCATTTTGTGACACACACACACACACACCCACTCAGTTTCTGCTGGAGGCAAGAGACGTCACTCAGTTCAGTGGAGTCTGACTTCCGACACGCACCCAGTAGCCAAAGCACTTGCTTATCTGTAGTATATTCTACAATAAACGTCGGTATTGCTCTCATTTTTGTGTCTGGACCATTTAGGTCTTAAAACGATGCCGCATTTTAATAGAGAGGGCTATTAATATTATGGATGAAAGGTCTCTGAAATAATATGCAAAACATGATATCCTTGAGAAATGGTGAGTGTAACCAAACCAATTTAAACTATATATATGGCTTGCATTTGTGGCTAACAGTATAATTTATTGGACAGCACTATTCTAGAACAGGAGGTATTGTGTCTATTCAGGAAGTCCGACTTGTGGCAGGACATAATCATTCCTGAAAGGGGCACAGGAGATAGTGGTGCGTGGAGTGGAGCGTGGACAAGCTCATGATACACAAGCAGGAAAGCTCCGATACCTCAAATTACAAAGTGGAAAACCCTCAGTGCCTTCTACCACTGAACAGAAAGGGTATATTTACCTTCTTTTTGTTCTATATAGATAATTTGGGGGGGGGGGGGGGGACTTGGCTTTTAAACCTGTTCTTCACAGTATGAGAGCCCATGTGTCTACAAACACTACAGAAAATGTCTTTCCTATGAATCTGTTTAGAGCTAGTAGTCGGTTTGTGCTCAGATGCCTGGTTCAACCCTTTACCTAAAAACTGAGAAATGTCTTAGTCTTCCCTTCCTCAATTGTGAGGAAAGAGTAAAGATAGGGAATATATAAAATAGAGTCCCTTTAATCAGGCTGTTAAAATTATTAACATTATGAAGATTGGGGTATAAGGAAATAACTCTATTATTGTAACTAGCCTGGAAACTTACACTGTTTTAACTTTCCAGTCCTGCATCAATGCCTGGATATACATCTGGACATAGACCAGACCTTCAGGTAACCCTTTGATTATCCCCCTGAAGGATTCACGTATCCAGACCACCTGATATCCACTATCCAGACTACTGGATGTAACCAGACCGCTGGCGTCCATCTTCCAGACCACCTGGCATCTATAATCCAGACCACCTGACATCTGACTAATAACCATCCTGGACCAATCCTAGGACTAAGATGCAGGACTGATAATGCTCAAGAATGTACTTTTTACTATAAAAGCTCGTAACTTTTCTTTCCTCTTTGGAGCACTTCTGGGTTTTTGCCTAGCTGTGTTCCTAGTTTGCAAATTCTAAGGCCCTTGAGTAAATCTTTATCATTTACTTCTAGCCAAAGCCTCCAGACTCTTTTTGAGTCCACTGGACAATTTTCAAGGAGCAAGAGGCTAGAACTAGGGAGCTTCACTAGCCTCCACTGTTCCTAGGGCTCAAACTCATAAATCTTCCTTATGAGTATGACAGGGCTTCAAATGTTGTCGCTGACACCTAGAGGTGAATGAAAGAAATGGCTCGACCAGCTGGAATCTGGTCAGCTGGGTCTCACCCCGATTCTAGTCATAGGATGCATTAAAAAATTAGAATATGTAAAATAACTAAAATGCCATTCTAAGATAACAGTTGTTGGAGTACAATAATATGTATCAAAGCACCTACACTTAAATAGGTAGCCTTGCTTTGACCACTGTATGTCCCATCTTCAAAGTGCATTTTCTAAAATAAAGAAACACATACGGATCATGCTTTTTAGTTTGTCATGACCACTCACAGATGCAAAATGCCTCCTAAACTGCTATGTGCTGTAAGGCCACTATACATAACAGGAACTTCAGGGCAAGACAGTGCATTTATATTAGCTTTGTGGGGGGAAAGAACACAAGCACAGCAAATTCATGTACTAATTTTAAACAATTTAAAGGGTCTATGAAAACACTACCACCTGTAAAATTCTATGGATATGGGAAATAAAACTTCAAATAATTGTAATTTGAACTTAATTTTGTAAGTTAGTCACATTACCATAAAACCTAAAGAGTGCCTCAAGGAAAAACTGAATAATGTATATACAACCACTGTAAAGTATATTTATTACCTGCAGGTAAAAAAGAAAAAGGAGCTAATGCCTTCTAAATACAAGAGGGCATGAGACAGCTCTGGCCTTGAGCTCTGGAGTCAGATCATGAGTTTAAACTGCACCTCTACCACCCAGCTGGGAGAGCTCAGAAAAATAACTTCAAGCTCCCTTAGTTCGCTAAGCCTCAGTTTCTTCAACTGCAAAAATATCAACTATGAGGTTGTCATGAGCATTAAAATAAATGTCTGGTATATAACAGATAAATAAATGTGGGATTTTTTTATTATTATTTTTAGATCAATTGTGAAGAACTGTGACAAATTATCTTAACCCTAAGATCTTCTTAACAATTGCCATTGCTTGAAAATATGATATGATCCTGGGTCCCTGCTGGGGAAGGTGTATGTCTATATACACATGCTTGTTCACACGTGTGGCTATACATGTGAGATTGTAAAGTAATAAGGCTAATTTCTGCAACCTGAGGCCCATCTGGGTACACTCTATTTTCCTGAGTAAACTTAACAGAAAGGAAGAGCCTGATCTTAATACACTCTTTAATGGGCCCACTCTAATAAACACGCCCCTACCCCCCATGTGTCTCTTACCTAGCCAATCCTTCTTCATAGAGATAGATGACAAGAGGATCGTAGGAAGTCACAAGCACATAGAGGCGCACATCAAACTTGAAATCTAGAAAAAAAATGTGCATTCACAGGAAAAAACTAAGTTTATTTGTTTCCCGTTCTAGAATAAACAGGACAATGTGACAAACAGAAAAGAAAGAACAGCCTTGCACTCCCAACAAAATATACACTGCCCACACACCTTGCCTTTGGAGGGTAAATAATAGTTATACATCATGCATATATATAAAATGAGAGAGAATTTATAAATGGATACTGTACAGTTTTCATATATATTTGCTATTATATAACCTATAAAGCACTTTGTTTTTTATTATCTCCTTTCATCTTCAAAATAATCCCATGAGGTAGGTAAGGAACCAGCCTTATCTCTAAAGCCATAGTTACCAAGAATTTCATATCAGCTTGATAAAGGTTTACTAGAGGAAACTATGAAAACGTTAAAAAAAATGTAGCAACATCTAGCCCTGTCCAGTCGAGGGCCTAATCACAACTCACCATCTATGAGCAAGGGGTTGTTAATGTAACGGGACACCAGGATGTTCTCTTCCAGGGAAATCTGGTTTGGCTGTTGAGTAAGGAGAAAGAATAAAAGGATAGAAATGCAAAGGAACCCGAACTTATAAGAAGGGAGCAAAGTTCTTAACCTTTTAGAAACGATAATGGAGAAAACTAAGACTCTAAGAAAAGTTTTCCTCCAAGCTACCCATATACACCGAATTGGCCACATAACACACCACTTCTATAAACATGGTAGGTGTCCAGTTACAGTTGGGGAAAAAATAAATTTACACAGCATCTCTCACATAATAAATAAAGCCTAAAGAGCCTTAAAGATTTATATACATGATATTAAATACATGCCAAGAAAATAAAAGCTACTTAAAAAATAAAAAACTTCCTTTCTCTCAGACGTAAAGTGCCAAGCAATTTTAAAATATTACCATTATTCTTAAATGAAGCCTTTCATCAAGTTGCTTAGAGAACTTAGACCTTTCCCCTGTGAGATGGGATGGATGTTCACTGACGCCCTCAGTGGTACCTGCTGTGCCACTGTATGTAAAGGCCAAGCTAGGAATTTTAAAGATTTTTTTCAGTGAAAACGAGTGGTTTTACAATAAGTAATTATGAGTATTGTTGTATACTGTATAAAGCACAGGGGATACAGTGATGAAGAAAACAAATATAATCCCTGCCCTCAGAGCCTAATCCCTACTCCCAAAGAGTTTAGTATTTAGGTAGAGGGACAGAAAATTATATAATTTAGAAGAATACAGAGCAGCATTATCTACAAGTGAAAGATGAAAGGTTGCAAAGTGAAAGAGCAGACCAGTTGAGTGGGACTAGTCAGGAAAGGCTTGTCCTGGAAGATGGATGAGTAGGTAGAAAGGAAAGGAGGCTGTTATGGGAAGACGGCATGCACAAAGCCCAGTAGAACAGAGAGTGAGCAGATTCAAGGGCCTGGGACTAAAAAGACTGAATTGGGAAATAATGAGAGGTATGGTTAGACAGTTAGGAGGGAGGGACCCCAATGGTAAAGGGATCTGAACCCCTGGCAAGGGGAGTTTACGTTGAACATGGTGGGAAGCAGGAAATTATTGTGGTTTCTTAATTGAGTAAATAGTAATATTAAAATATTTGGAATAGAACAACTCTGTGTGAGATTAGATTAAGCCAGAGAAGTCAACTGGAAGTCACCACAATCCAGATAAGACAAAGGACTCCAAAAGGGAAGTGGCTATAATAACAAATGTGATGATAATAGCTACAGTAGCATAAACAGAAATAATTAACATTTGAAGCAAAAAATAAAATTTAATAAATGTATTGAATATTTGCTATGCATTGTTCTAATTCTTCACAAGTATTATTTCGTTTAATCCTCACCCACGAGGTCTCACCTACCTCGTGGGAGGTAGGCATATCACCACCTACGGGGTTGTCGGAAAAGTCATCTCGTATTTTTTCTGTTTTTCGTTGCGAAAATGTGTCATGACTTTTCCAACAACCCAATAAATACTAGAGATGAGGAAAGAGTCAGAGAGGGTTAGGAAGCTGCTCAAAGTCACACAGCTAATAAGTGATAGAGCAGCATTTCAACCCAGGCAGTCTGCCTCCGAGGCTTAACTTTTAAGCACTCTTAACATCTTCACCCAAAGTTCTAAACTAAAAATAGTTATCCCCCAAGTTCAAACGTTTGTCTTTATAGTAATGCATTTGCTATCCCAAATATTACAGTTATCGTCAAATAGGGATAATTTTGCGTCCCATAGTGTTATACACAACCACGATGAGCAACTCCAGAGTCGCTCATTTCCCACTGCTGCTATCTCAAACTTGGAGCACCACTTTCACAACCCTTCTCTATGCATCATAGGAACACTATGACATTAGTACTGATTCATACTAATGGATTCAGTCACCCACACCATTTCCTGACTCCCTTACATTTCTTGATCAGTTTCTCACAAGTACTATCTCCATTCTGAGTCAGCTCAGTAAAGATTGATGCAATCGCGCTGCAAAGCAGTAAGCTGTAGGCTATGCTCCAAACCTAAAATTAAACAATTGCAGCTCTCTTCCTGGGGAATAACACTTATGGGCTACAACAGATGTATGACCACACAACTTTCCTGAATTCGCTGGTAATGGGCTTCACTCCGTGCGCATCTCACGTCCATGGTCATTTCCTCTTTCCTTCTGCGTCATACACATTTGTCCTTTGAGTTAGGCATAACATAATCTCTTACACTATTTGGGGAACTTTAATATTTTTCAGTGGTCTGTACCTCTTATTTCTATCTGCATTAGTAATTCAATTGTAAGCTCATAGAAGAAAAAATAGTTTGGGTATAGTTTCTTTGTATATTGATATATACTGGTAAGTAACTAATGAAAGCTTTTTGATATCTTCAAGCCTGTTTCCTTTTCATCAATCCCCAGTTAACTCATTTTAAATGATCTCTATTCCAAGCTCAAACTGCCCTCCAAAGTATGCTAAAGCAAGAATCTGAATTGTTGGGAAAGTTGGAAATACATCTATTTTTCTAACTGGGCTTTACAATTAAAGCTCATGGTATCTGTTAAGTTACTGTAAGGTACAATGGCACAGTGGTTAACAGCTTGTGCTCTGGAATCAGCTAGACCTGAGTTAACAATCTTGACTTTGCCACTTACTAAGGAAATAACAGTAATTACCTCCTAGGGTTCTTATAAAGACTAAATAAGATTATATTTGGAAGGCACAAAGTAAATGTTCAAGAAATATTAGTTGTTATTATTACTGCAAACTCAATAGTACCTATGTGGTTCTAGTTACTAAGCTCTGTAACTCAGCAGCGTTCATCACAGCATGCTCTATGCCATTCTACTCAAGAGCAGTGTGCTGAGTTCTAATGAAGATAAAGATGTGTAAGAATTAGGATAGTCCCTGTTCCTCAAAAGGCTGTAAGGAGTGGCCATGCCTGGCACACAGCAGGGACTCCCTAAGTATTTGCTGAACCATGAGAAGAGAGCATATAAGATGAAAACATATAAACAAACAGAAACAAGAAAGCTGTCCAAAATTATATTCACCAATACAGTTGTGAATAGTGACTTAAAATCTCGGAAAATATTACTATTGTTTTTACCATGGATAATGTACGAGACAAGGGTGACTAAATATGACTTCTATAATCAAATTCATACCCTAATTAGAAAACACCAGATCTTTCCCCTCCTGGATTTAAATATACTAAATTGGGGAAAATATGGCATTCAGTCACAGTTACTGAAGGAGTTGGATCCAATACAACTCTGTTCCTTTATGATGTATTTCTAGAGTTAAAGAGCCCATTGCTGAGGAACTGCGTTGGCCAATCGGAGAGATGCTTCCATTTGCAAGAGCTCACACTTCAGTATTACATAAAAGTATTGCTTTTTCTATCCTTTATCCTGTTCTTGTAATGGTAAAAGTTTCTATTTGCAAATATTTTCCAAAAGGCTATGACTATTATTGGGAATATTTAATAAGAGGCCCTCTCACTCCAGCAGGAAGACAGGGGAAGGTGTTTTCCTTTGGCCCTCACGCTTAATTCTGCCCCTCCCCCACAACATCCCTCACCCACTCAGTTAGTTCTGATCATAGACCCTTCGCCTGAGCACTCCCTCCCCCTACCTCTCAAATCTGAAAGGAAAGCAGGCAGCAGCCTTGGAAAGAGTTACTTCATCCAGTTGGCTAATGGGTCACATATTCCATGGGAAAGGATCCAGGTATGGAAAAGAGGGAATGGTTAGGCCTTGTGTGGAAGGAGAGAGAGAGAGAGAGAGTATTCTTAACTACATGGTTTGTAGGTCTGGGTAAAAGGTGATAAAATTCCAGTTTTAGAGTGAAATGGGAATATTTTCCCATCATGTCCACATGTTGCCAGCTCCCCTGGTGCCTGCTGGCATCTTCCCAGGCTTCTGTCTGGCACCTCCACCAAATACCTCAAAGAATCAGACTCATTCCAAAGCTTCTCCAAGGGGGTGGGGGGCCAAGGTTCCAGGCCAAGTACTTTGATCTATGCAGGGGGTCTCCAGGGATTCAGCCCAGGGAGGGGTGGGAGGGGGAGGAGGGCCTGCCAAACGCATTCTCTCAAGACTTGTCACCCCCTTTATGAGACTCAGCACCCAGGGAAGAGTCAGGGCACAGGGTTCTCAGCCCCACCAAGGAAAGTTTAACTTTTCTATTCTTTATGATGCTGGTTTTAAAATAACAAATCACTAGGGCAAAAGAGCATCCCAAAAGAAAAAAGTCCCAGATGAGTTGGGAATAGATCCTATTCTTTTTGACTCAAGTCTAAGAAAATAAAAAGCAAACTTGTACCACAGTTGACTTTTCAATAGCAATTCCATTTGGCAGCTAAAACCCAAACCCAAACTAGTGCCGTCTATGAGATTCAAACAACACTGGGGCTTCTGGCGTGGAACTGAAGGAAAAGCTGTCGGACAGGAGCCTCCCTGCCAAGGTCAGAAAAGAGACAAGGCAAGAGAGGTCCAAGGCATCTGACCGGGGCCTTCTGTCACAAGAGACCAGGGTGAAAGGCCTCCAGAGTGACCCAGGATCAGGTAATAGGACTTACAGCCTGGACCTGCGGCTGCAGTACTTGCTGTATCAGAACCAGGTCCTATACGTCTTCAGCACAAGAGGTTGGGCCATCGGTCTTTATAATACAGTTTTTTGTCCAGACTGAATTTAAGAATTTTCCAATGTGAAAGACCCTTCAGAGAGTTAGTTTCTGCATGTATAGGAAATAGCTCAGACCTTGTGAAAAGAGAAGACGTGGATTTAAGATGGAGTACTAACCACACATACTCCTGTCCAGAGTCCCCCTGGAAGGACAGAGAAGATATTTTTTTAAAAGAATGAAATGATAGCAAGGCTAGAAAGTAGTTGAAGCCAACAATAGACCAAAAGTGTAAGGAAATCCTATAAGATAGAAAGCAGATGGGATCAGGTTGAGAAGAAGAGCAGAGGAAGCCCCAGCCCAGAATATCAGAGGTGAGAGTGATCCTCCCAAGGAGGCCTCTGAGGACGTCCAAGCTGGCGGTGAACACACACAAGGAGCAGGAGTGGGCCAAGGAAGAAGAATCAGACAGGCAATTAACACACAGCATTTGGAGCAGGGAGGCCAGTGGGTCTTCCCCAACACCCAAAGCTCTGCACACAGGATAAAAACCTAAGGATGACACTGGGGAGAGCATCTTGTGTGAGTGCAGGGATCTGAAACAAGGGTGGAACTTGAGGCCACTCTATCCCTACAACAGACACCACAGAGAAAAGACAGGAAAGGTGGCACTGCACCAAAGAGAAATCACCCAAATCTCCTTCGGTCTCCACAATGAGGCCTGCCATATTTTGGCAAGGGAGAAAAAGGGGGCCTGCTCCTCACCCACATCTGCCAAGGTACAGCCCGGCAGTCACAACGTGCTTTGCCCTGGCACAGCTCTCATTGCCAGCCTCCCGTCCAGACAGAAGTCATCAGGGAACCCGCACCACACAACACAAGGGGAAACCCAAGCAAGCTGTCAACTTGTCAGTCTAGTCTTTCGTTCATAAACGTGACTCCGCACACCTAAGGTCACTGACATTGGGAAAACCCAACAGCAGGAAAAATGGCTATTCCTAGAGAAGTCACCAATCAAAAGAGAACTTTAAAAAACTTTCAACTGGTATCCTCAGAAAGACCAGCAGGCAAACTGCATCCACTAAGCAACAACACGCTACTAACAAAAACAGACAAAAAAAGCAAATCAGAAAATAAGAGTTTCTGGGAACCATGGTAGCCAATATAGAAATACAGTAGATGGAATGAATAATAAAATGGATAGAGTTCAAGCTGGTGATCCAGAAGACAAAGGTAGGGAAAAAGAGAATTTAAAATGAGAGAAAAGTTGAGGGGCCGGCCGAGTGGCTCAGTTGGTTAAGAGCTCGCTCAAGAGTTTGAGCTCTGAGCAACAGCGGTTCGAGTCCAGCCCGAGCTGAGCAGCCGCTGAGCTGCCAACAGGTAGCAGGATGGCTCAGCTATAAAAAAAAAATTTTTTTTAAATGAGAGAAAAGTTGACATGAAGACCCAGAATGCCTCAAAAAGGAGTTCTGGAAGCAGAAACAAAGACCAAAAAAAAAAAAAAAAGGATCATTTTCCCTGAACTAAAGGAAAACACTAGTTCCCATACCTAAAGGGCGATCACCTGTTGAGGAGGAACGGAAAGAGACCCAGGCTGAGGGTCTCCTTGTCAAGTTTCTACTGAGTTTAAACTTTTTACTCAACTTATAGATAAAGCAGAGAAACTGAAGAGAATGTAAATGTTATAAACCTTTAAAATATAAAAAGTAATAAAAAGTAATCAAACGCAGAGATGGAATGTGGGAAGGAGGGAGGGTAGGAGGTGAAGTGCGTGCCATCAATATCAAACTGGGAATTAACACAATGCAAAGCTGAGAAAAGAAACATACATCAACGAGATTAGGTTACTGACTACTGTTGAAAGTCTAGGGAATGAGACTGGGGTTGGGATTTGATTTCATTTACTCTGCATACGTCCTCAACTTCAAAACAACTTTTAATGAGGATTTTGCAAAGAATCAAGATATTGATGATCTGAAAAAAGGAGAAGGGGAGGAGGAGGAAGAGGTAGGAGGAAGAGACAGCAAGGATGTCGTACGAAATTAAAGTTAATTTCCTTGATGGCTTTGAGGACAGGAACCCACAGTTCTGCTCACAATAAAAACTAAACATATATGCTACCAACTGATGCTTAGTGCTGAGGAATTAATATGACTGCATGCTGAAAGCAGAAAAGTACCTCTTTTCTGATGATACCAAAGGCTGTCCTCCCCCAAAATTTGGTCAAGTAACTTTTCAGCCATAGAGTAACTGTCGTCATGAAAGGAGGTGACTGCCAGTAGATAAATCATACCCACCCTCAGCTCACACTTCTGAATGCAGGTTTCAGAAGGGAAAACCTGCGCTGAACAAAAAGGGACCATGCTAGTAGCTAGGACAAGGAGTGACGCAGGGGAGAACAAAAAGGTGGGAGGTTGCCATGTGCTGGATACTTACATTGTTGATCAGGTAGACACCCCGCCCCCTAGAAGAGGCCACTGGTTTTACTATCCAAGGTCCCCGATCCTTTGAATATGAATCTGCTCAAAACATTGGGAGATAAAAAGGGGGAGAGAGAGAGAAAGAGAAAGAAGGGACATGAGTTTATCAACTTAAATGAACAATGGTTATTTACTCAGGTACCCAAAGAATTTTCCAAATTTCTAAGTGGAGGGTATTTTTGGATTAGCCTTAAAAATTAAAACAGAGACAGAAGAGAGAGGGAGGGAGGGAGGGAAGAAGGAGGAGGGGGAAGAGACAAAAAAACAGGGAGGAGAAAGAGAAGGAGACAGCAAAACGACAGCAAATACTACCTAATATATTTCTTCCACCGTTTCTCCTCTTGAATGAGATGATGAAAACAAAGACAGACAAATATCTGCATGTTAGCCTATCATCGTCACAAACAACCTTCATGAATCTTTGAGTCTCGCCTTCATTAACCTCCAGAGGCTCACACTGCAGACAGTGACAATGTGACAAACGCCAGATCTACTAAGATGGGCACTTTCCTTAAGCAATTTCTCTGAGCTTATAAGAAAAAAATCACCTAATATCAAACAGTGTGCAAGCGAAGAGGAAAAACAATAATTTGCAAGTGAGGAAATGGCACCCTTTACTCTTGTTCCTTTCCCAGGATCAGGTTTACACCTTAAATACCTTTGGATCATGGGAAAGGAAACCTCCCTGACTCCCAGAGGCTTGCAGGTGGCTCTGCCCTCCTCTTAGGGGAGGTCAGAGGACACGGAGAGAAGCAGGAACAAAGGACCCACCCTCTGATAAGAGCCAAACGGTCTTTTCAAGGCCTCCCAACAGGCACTTGGTCTTTTCAAGGCCTCCCAACAGGCACTTGACGTTGTCAGTGCCGCAGACTGTTTCACCAGAAGCAGAAAAAGGTCTCCTTGTCCATTCTCCCCTATCGTCTGCTTTTTCCTTGATGCAACCTAATCGAGTCAGGAAAAATGGAATTGCCACACAGAATTTAAAACTCTATAAGCAATTCCACTTCTAGAAATATATCCTCTAGTTCCACTCACACATATGTGAAATGTTGTATGTACAAGATTATTCAGTGCTGTGTAACAATATCAAAAGCTGTCTGCTATACTGTCTGCTATACTGCACCTGTGTGAGGGGCCAGCAAACTTTTTTTGTAAAAATCCAGATAATAAATAGTTCAGGCTTTGCAGGCCATGCGGTCTCTGTTGCAACTATTCACCTCTGCCACTGCAGCTCAAAAGCAGCCATAAACAATGTAAACAAAGGGGCAGACTGCGTTTCAATAAAACTTTATTTACGGATACTGAATTTCATATGATTTCCACATGCCACAAAATTTTATTCTTCTTTTTTGTTTCCATCATTTAAAAATGTAAAAACCATTTTTAGCTCCTGGAATGCATAAAAACAGACAGAAGATCAGATTTGATTCAAGGGCTGTAGTTTGCGGACACCTGATCTACATAATGGAATATTAAGCAGACACACAAAATGAGAAAGTTATTAATGGACAGATAGAGAATGATCACAAAGATAGGCTGTTCGGTGAAAAAAAGGAAAATGCAGGGCAATGTGTATTGTCTGCTGCCATCTGGTCACATACACACTCAAGCTACGTGCCAGTAAATGCAGAGACTATCTCTAGAAGGATATGTAAAAAAAACTGGGAACACTGATCACCTCTGGGGAGAACTGGATGTCTGAGGGAAAGAGGAGAAAGGAAGATTTTCACTGATTATTATTTTGTACCATGGGAATATGTTCCCTTTCAAAACATATAAATTAAATACTTTTAAAGTCTTGCTATAGATGACATTTATAGTTACATAAGACAAATGAAATCTCTACACAGTGAAGTCACTGAATATATGTTTATGTGTATACAGTTTATATATTTTTTTACATTGGCCATTTTCCCCAAATTCTGAAGAAATAATGGATTGAGCACAGATGACTCTATTAATAATTAAAGAAAACAAAAAAATTACAAAATTTTCTAAACTTCATTCATTCAACACTTCTAAGTACCCAATCCGTGTCAATCAGTTTGCTAGGTGATTGATCCATGTCAATCAGTTTCATGCAGTAGTGAAAAACAGTCTTTACCGCCACGGAGATTAGACTGGCAGAAAAGGCAGACATTGACCAAGTAGTTACAGACACAGAGAGTTACAAGGAGGAAGTGCAGCATGCTATAGGAATGCCTGAGAAAAGGGCCAAACCTGTCTGGAGACAGCAGAAAGCTCTCAGAGCCAGTGTAGAAAAGTCTCGTTTCAGGAATATCTGGCTAAACGCCACCGTTGCCACCTAACACGTTTAATAAATCTTACTTTGAAGCTTCTTCTGGTGCTTCACTTTTATCATGTTCTTGAAATTCTAAATACCAAAACATTGTCTTCCATACTAGGCTTTTCTCCTTGATTTGTTATATTTCAGGACAAAGATTGATTTTTTTTTTTTTTTTCTAAAAATGTGGGTAGGAAGCCAGAAAATCAGAGGCATAGGAGGGCGAAGAGCTCAGTCGCCTGTCAGGACAAAGATGTGCTAGACAGAGTCTGCCATTTTTTCTAGTGCCTCCCAGGTCCTGCAGTGACAGCCTTTCAATCCAATGGAAAGAACACTGAACCAGGAGTAGAAATATGTGAGTTCGAATTCTGGCTTTTACACCATGGGTAATTTGCTTAAATTAGCCAGTCTCATCTTTAAAATGAGGCCCTCTTATAATTCCAATATTATGATTCTATAAATTTACTGATTGCTTTGAAATCCACTAATTTGTAATTAACTGGCTGACATCAAAATTTTGCTCATTCCTTAGAATTATTTCTCAGTCTCTCTTGCATGGAAAGACGGCCATAGGACACAGTTCTGACCAATCAGAAGTAAACAGAAACCTGCTGGGGTCTGGAGGCGGGGAGCTCGGCTCTTCTGGTGCTGGCGTCACCCTATCTTCCTTGTTGTTTCCTTCCTGCCAAGAAAGCTGTCCACTGGCAGGGAAGTGGCTGGAGTTGGCAAGAGGCTCTTACTTAGGTTCTTCGGGGCCACAGACCCCCAAGTCTACCACATGCTGTAACTGGCAACAGTGCGCCAGGAGTCTAGGAAGAGCTATGCCATGTATTCCAACCCCACACTAATTGTTGGCAGTCTCCAGGCTTCACATCACTTCAGGTAGTGATTGGTCTCTGGGCTAGATCTCTACAGAGATGGATTTAAGATCTTCTCTTATTAGAACAGAAAGCCATGAACTCACGAGACCCACCTTGGCTGGTATCTCCAGTGTCTTTGGCAATTCTCATGTCCGCTCCTTATCAGTTCCCTTTCAAAGGCTCTTCACAAGCTATTCCCATCCCTTTCTGCGCCTCTCAAACACACAAACCCATCCCTACGCCCTTCATTCTTATCATGTGTCCCCATCACCCTGCTTGCCTCGAAGGCTGGGAATTTGTAACATACGAGGTATGACCATTAAGTTCCAAACTTAATGGTAAGGCCTTGTAAATCCACTCCCTTGCTTTCTTCTCCATCTAAAATTTTATCTGAGTCATCACTTAGCCTTCCTTTTCTTTTTTTCCTTCCCTTAGGGGACAGACATGCCCACCTCCGTCCTAAAGCTCACCCTTCCGCTGGGGCTCCCGATTTAACCCTTGCCTGCCTCCCCGGGGACCTCATTCCCTTGCTCCTGCCTTGGACCTCTCGCCCCCACTCTGATTTCTCTGTGGTGCTGCCTCTCGTAATGTTTCCCTCCCTTGGTACTCACATCCACCTCCATACCTGCAACTTCCAGAATCTGTATCTCTGGCCAAAACTCAAAACGGCCTTTATCGCGACATGGATACTTGCAGGCACCTCAAATCAAACCTGATCCAAACTGCACTCCTCCTCCTTCCCCTTTCACACTCTCCCTTTCCGTTCCGGTTACAGCCCCCGGAGGAAGCCTTGCTGACCCTCCTGGACTCACACCTCCGGGGATATCTCTGACTGGTCTCACACTCGCAGCCTGTTATAAACCTTATTTATTCTACCGTTCTTTCCATTCTGGCACCTAGCTCAGTCCAGCTACGCTTCTCACCTGGATTACTCAATAACCTTCAAGGTGACCACTGCGTTTCTTCCCCCTTCTCCCTCCAATTCGTTTCATGCAGTTACTTTTCTAAAGGCCAGCCTGTTCATCTCCCTTTTCCCTCCCAAAAATGTGTCCACACGCAAGTAAGCAGTGGGGAGGCAGGAACACAAGCATCGTGGAGAAAGTGGGATTCCCAAGTGAAAATATGCTAGGTGGACACCACAGGAAGAGAAGGTACTTTATGCAGAAGGGGGCCGTCTCTTTGAAACATGAAGTGATAGAAATAGATGGGTTTCTCCCCTAATGTGTAAATTTAGCAACACGATTAACCTAATGCTGTTGGATTTCCCCCCCAGGGGATTGACGTGGAGAGGTCACGACACCTGGCAACTAGCAGAGAGTGACGGGCATCCTGGCGAGACCAAAACCAGAGAGATTCCTCTTTCCACCAAGTGTCCCTGTCCTCCATCTCCCACAAACACAGGCCCTGCTGGGCTCTTTGCGTGGCAACAGCAATGAGTGGTTTGTGTGGGGGACTGAGCAACACCATTTGCCTGGAATAACTGCCCTGGGGCTAAAGGTGGCGGCTTTGGATTGCTGCTGTATTAATTCTATGTGTCCTATTGACCAAATGAATTCATTTTTTGTTAAAAAGTAGAACACATGAGAGTTTGAATAATATGCTGAAGAAGCAATTCTACTGAAAGACAGGTCAGGCTTGAAATTCCGGGGGAGCCCTACGTCTGTCCAATTATCTGAATGAGCTTCCCCAGCTCGCAACGGGCCTCCAAAGATGGGGGGAAGAACAGCTGAACAAGCGACAGCGGAGGAGAAAGGGAACTTTCAACTTAGATGCCTTTAGTCTTTGTAGGACATTATTCTGGACTTTATTTTCTTATTAGGACTCCAACGCCAGGAGGAGTCATACTGGGAACCCTTTTGCATTGCTGACATGTCAGTTGAAGCATTCTTATGCTATCATGTTGGCTTACTACATGATTTTTTTACTTTTGCTATGTAATGATCTCTCTCAACATAACTTGAAATAGGAAATAATACTGAACATTTATTAAGCACCTGTAAGGCACCATTCCAAGCGCTCTCCATGTATTAACCTATTTGGGGGGCAAGTTTTTTGAGAAGTCCTTTTTGACACAGGAGAAAGCTATGTCACAGAGAGGTTTAAGTAACTTGGCTAAAGTCACATAACAAAAATTCTTAACTACAGATTTTCAGCTTTGAGTGCAATGCAACTTTGAAGTTAACTTAATTCATCTAATAATCTATTCGGACCCACCTCAGAGCCCTCTGTGGGAAAATACTGAACTGTCAGCCTATGGTCCCAGCAGGACCAACAAGTGCTATCAGAGAAATGGCCTCACCAAGGTCGAAGCAGGAGACCTTGCTGACCATCCCTGCTGATGGAAGTCCTGGAGGGCGAACACCCCACTGGGTGACCAGACCAGATTAAGGCCAACAAGTTAAAAGAATCAAGTCAGGAAGTCTAGAGAGACCTTGTTCTTCCTCTCCCCACGCTTCCTCGATCTTAAGACAGGAACAATCATCTCTTGGACTTGTGGCGAGGGAAACTATGTGTGTGTCTGTCCTTCTGTGTCATACCTGATCCTCCTCCCGAGAGTGACTTGTCTCACTGTGACACTGCGTACACACTGCCCTGTGTCTTTAGCAATCAAGCACAGTGGTGAAGAGCCCGGCCTCTGAAGCGCAACGGCCGGGTTTGAATCCAAATCCTGCCATTTGCAAGCTGCATATGGAAAGCTCCTTAGCCTCTCTGTACCTTACTCTCCTCATCTATAAAACTGGGAATTACAATGTTGGGTTGTCGGAAAAGTCATGACGTATTTTTTCTATGGTTTTCATTGCAAAAATGCGTCATGACTTTTCTGACAACCCAATAGTACCCACCTCAGGGTAAAGGCACAACTTAGAAGAGGGCCTACTAGGAAGGAGGTGTTCATTAGGTGTTAGCTACTATCACTATTCTTCAGGCTCTCACAAAAGACCTGCCGCACACCTTCTCTGTGCCCTAAGCCTAAGTCGGGCTCTGTCCCATGAGGAAGGCCTGAAATAGCCCATTTCCTCTGCTGAGGCCTGGGGAGGTAAGTTCACTTCCAGGCAAAAGAAATACGAAGCCCACTGGCCCTTGGATGCAGGCTACGTGTCCCTACCTAACTTTACCAGCAATACAGCTGATGTTTAGATCCCTATGTGGCTCCAATGTGTATTTTTCAATTAGTCTGAACTCCAAGGAGAGAGTCACTAAGTGGTATCTCCAAACCCTGACACCAAAGATGCATAATACTTCTACCCCAAAGAACATAAGTCACACAGGTCCAGAAATCAAGGTGACAGGAATATTCCCTAGATGTTAAAAGGAAAAGAGACACCAAAAAGGGCGCGTAAGTAGTTTATATGCAGAAGTATCTACACCCTTACATGGGCACTAGCTCTCGTCAACAAAGAAGAGACTTTTTATATATGTATGTCCTTACATAAATAATACTGACAGCCTTACTAAGAATAAACATACAGGTACACAGTCATAAAAAGGATAAAAAGAGCTTTAAAGTTATCTCTGCAGCTATTTCACTAATGAAACAATTTTTTAAGGATTTGAAAAGCCGTGACTGGTTACTGACTTGAGGCAGCCCTTGGGGTAAGTCCGCCCCAAGTCCAGTGGCTGGGGTCAGGCATTCTGAGTCAAGCACTTACTACAGAATTCCGCGTACTCAGTTGGCAACAGGAAGGTCTGAGGGAGGATGTGAAAGGCCTTGAATCCATGCGTGTGCTGCATTCGAATGATGTTTTTATACAGTCGGTCCTTCCGGGTAAGTTCATATGACCTAAAAATCATAAAAGTAGTCCCATTTCAGAAAAGTCGGACTCAGAGGGTTTCCCGTGTTGTCCCATTCTAAAGGGTTCATAGCCTACAGTTCTGAAGCAGTTACTGAGGACAGCGGCATGTGACAAATCTATCACTTTGTCAACCCCAAAGGTTTATTAGTCATTTTCATGGAATGGGTTTCTTTGGTCAGATTTATTCTTGATGAATAAATTAAGGTATAATTTATGTACAGTAATATTTGCCCTTTTTAGTGTAGAATTCTATGAATTTGAATAAATACATACAAATAATCACCTCCACTACCATCGAGCTATAGAAGAGTTCCAACATCCCAAAAAGTTACCTCAAGTCCCTTTGCAGTCAACCCTTCCAGTCAGTCACCTCCCAGGCCCTGGCAAACTTTCATTTGTTTCCTGTCCTTATAATATTGCCTTTTCCAGAAAGTCAAATAAAGGGGATCAATCACATGGTATGTATCCTTTGGAGACTGGCTTCTTTCACTGATTATAACACAACTGAGGTTTATTCTTGTTGTTGCATGTATTGGCATTTCATTCTTTTTTACAGCTCAGCAGTAATCCATTATTTGGGTGTAACAGTTGGTTTATCTACTCACCAGCTGAAGGATATATGAGCTGTTTCCAGTTTTTGAAGATTATGAATAAAGTCACTGTAAGCATTTGTGTGCAGGTTTTTATATTAACATAAGCTTTTATAAATTTTTGTGTGAACATACATTTTCATGTCTCAAGCAGTGGGATTACTGGGTTTAATAAGATTATTTAGTAAGTAGTATTAGTTATCTAGTGCTGCCTATTATTCCAAAACATAGCAATTTAAAATAATAATAAACATTTTCTATCTCACACAGTGGGCCAGGAATGCGGGACTGCCAGAGCCAGGTAGCTCTCTCTTGGGGTCTCTCATGAGGTTACAGTCAAGATGTCAGCCAGGGCTGCAGTCATCAGGCTTGATTGGGGCTGGAGGAGCCACTTTCGAGGCAGCTCACTCATATGGAGCTGGCTGATGACAGGAAGCTTCAGTTCTCTCGGTGTGAATTTTTCCACAAGGCTAACTGAATGCCTTCATGACACGACAGCTGGTTTCTCCCAGATCAAGTGATCCAAGCAAGACATCAAGAAAGAAGCTGCCATGTTTTTTATGGTCTGGTCTCAGAAGTAACACAGTATCACTTCTGCCACATTCTATTATGTAGAAGTCAGTCACTTAAGTCCAGCCCACATTCAAAAGCCGAGAAATGAAGCTCAATCTTTTGAAGGCAATGTCAAGGAATTTGTGAACACATTTTAAAACCACCACATAAGTATGTGTTTAACTTTATAAGAAACTGCCAAATTGTTATCCAAAGTGGCTGTATCATTTTGCATTTCCCAGCAGCAAAATTTTAGATTTCCAGTTATACTGCATCCTGACCAGCACTTGGTGGTGTATGCTTTTTTGTTTTGTTTTTAGCCCTTCTAATAGGTATGTAGTAGGACCTCATGTGGTTTTAATTTGCATTCTATTAACAACTACTTACGTTCAACATCTTTTCATATCCACGTACCTTTTTTGGTGAAGTATCTGTTCAAATATTTTTCCCATTTTGAAAAGCAGAGTTGTTTATTATTGAATTTTGACAGTTTATTATATATTCTGGATATAAATTCTTTACCAGGTATGTGCTTTACAAACATTTTCTCCCAGTCTCTGGCTTGTCTTTTCATTTTCTTAACAGTATCTTTCAAAGATAAACACTTTAAATATTGATGAAGTCCAATTTATCAATTTTTTTCGCTTATGGATTATGCTTTTACTCTTATATCTAAAAAATATTTTGCTGGCCGGCCGAGTGGCTCAGTTGGTTAAGCGCTCGCTCAAGGGTGCGAGCGCTGAGCAACAGGGTCACCGGTTCGATTCCTGGCCCAAGCTGAGCTGCCGCTGAGCTGCCAACAGGTGGCAAGATGGCTCAGCTGAAAAAATAAAAAATCTTTTACCTAATCCAGGTCATAAAGATTTTCTCCTATGTTTTCTTCTAGAAATTTTACAGTTTTCGGTTTTACACTTGAATCTATGATAATGTTAGGTACCTTTAAATAGAGCAAAGTAGCCACCAGAGCATTACCTGGGAAAGTGATTAACCTTTTGTGCTTCAGAAAGGGTGCGAAGCAAGAAGGGCTTCAGGTGGGATCCTGTCCACATTAGGTTATAGTCAGTGCTGCTTGGGTGAACCTGAGGGCAGATAAGAAAAAACAAGATAAAAAACATGGAAGAGAGCCCCTCTCCACGAAGAGTGATGGCAGAAAAGGCCACAGAGATTTTACATCCACAAAGTTGTCACGGGGGTGGCCCAGTTAGTATGTCCACTTAGTATGTGAGCCTAGCAAGACAAAAGTTGAGTGCAGAGAACATGGGGATAATCAAGTTTAAAGAGTGGGAGAGTTAGGCAAAGCCCAAATGCAAAAAGGAGAATAAAGTAATCCTTGTACAGAAGTCCATAATGTCTCTTACTATTCTTGTATATAAAAGCACAAAATGAGGGCCCAAGCCCAAAGCTCCCTTTCCAGAGTGCCCTGTGTTCTTGCAGATGCTGGGTATAAAGTACTGATCAGAACTAAAAATTTAGAGTAGCAAACCAACTTAGAATTCTTTCACTCATTCATTCATTCATAAGAATTCATTTGTCCGTTCATTCAAAAATTATGTACACAGTGTCTATGATGTGCTAGGTGCCATGTTAAGCCCTGGAGATAAAACAGCAATAAGACAGGATATAAACTGGTATCAGAAATTCCCCAAAATGTCTACTTCAGACCTCAATGTAAGACAAGGAGCTAGCAACCAAACCTTTATCAACCGTCTCAAAATATCTACAGTAGAAGTCTGTCCAGCATTTCTGCCATTCCTTTTGATGCCAACATCCCAATTTCCCCAACTTTCTTTGGGAATAACATATTCCTTGGTTTTAAAGGACCTGCCAATCACCCCCTTCCCCCAAGGGAGTGAATCCATGACCCAAGCTGGGCTAGTCATTCTGTCTCCAGGATGTGATTCCTGAGTGGAGAAGGCACAAGGACAGTGAGTGGAGTCAAGTCACTTCCATGGCACTGCCTTGAGGAGATGGTCCTAAAGGTTTCTGTTCCCAAATCCCCTGAGCTGTCCTGGTCTCTCTCCTGCCAAAGGCCAGCCTTTTCAGCTTTTCCTCTGACTCTGCTAGCCATCTTGTGTACATTCTCCCCACAAATCCCTTTGGTTTAATTTAGGCAGAGTCTGTTTCTGTTGCTTGCAATCAAAGAACCTTGATCGGGTAACAGACAATTACTTATGGGTAACTCTGCCGCTAGCCCAAGCCGAAAAACACTTTTTTTACAAAAAAAAATCTGTGAAAATGTTTTCCATGTATTGCAAGGAGAAACTGGTAAAGGCATTAAGAAATTCAGAGCAAGTTCTGCATCATCACTACGCATTGGTCCCAGGTACTTTCTAGAGTTTGCACTGTTAACTGATAGGTGGCTAAGATTTTCAGCTTTTGGACAGATCAGATGGGGTAGTAAAAACGAGCTTACTTCATGAAATCCATGGGCTGTCAGAATGCTGCGTACCAGGCGACTGTCTGTTCGCACAATCTTGTAAGACAAATGATAACGCTCTAAAGAAAAACACAGAATCAAGTTCAGTAACTAGGGAGTTAACTGTAGAGACAGGTAAACTATAAGAGAATGTCTTGCTTGATTATACTAATAACATTATACAGCTATGCTTATGCTACTAAAAGGAGAGCTTATGGATTATTTTGGACCAAGGGTTCTTAACCTGAAATTTGTTGGGAGCGAAGCATAGAGGGAAAATTATATCGTTGTTTTTGCCAATTTCTAGTTGAAATTTAATATTACCTTCAATCAGAAACATAGGCAACAAAGTACAGAAGTATTAGCAGTAGCTGGACCCTGCCACCAATAGATACCAGGTATTTTAATATTATTTAATAGTTGTTACAATTATCTCAAAATCTCTCTTACTCTCGTAGTACTTAAAAATTATGGAAGTTAACAACAGACCTACCACTAGATTATGTTGTTCAATGCACTAATAAAAAGGCATATATCAAATTTGGGGTTTTAAAAATATTTTGATAACTATACTTTAATACAACTGCTTCTCTTCGTAGTCATATGTAATTTTTTTAAGGTTTCATTGGGGAATTGGGGGAGGGGAACAGCGTTGGGGAACTGGGGGAGGGAAACAGACAAGTTGCTGTCCTTTTGTTCTTCAGTCTAGTTATGGAGGACGGCGCTTCTCTGGCCCATGTTGGTATTATCATTGCGTTCTTCCTGGGTGAGGCAGCTCAGTCGCCGGCCTCTGGACAGCTGCTCATGGCAGCTCACGGCAGCTCACGAAAGCTCACGCCCGCCGCCGGCCAGCCCCACTGCAGCCTATGCGGTTGCCAGCAACTCCCGGCAGCCCAGCTCCAGGTGAAGCTGTTGTTCGCCATCTTAGCTGTAGAGGGCGCAGCATCACTGGCCCTCATGTGGGATCCGAACCAACTCCTAAGCAACACTCCACTCGGCCGGCCCCTGTAAATTTTTTTATACACTTAAAAAACATTATTTCGAGAAAAGACCCAGAGGCATATCCCCACTGCCAACAGGGTCCATTGCACCAAAAAGATTAAGTACCATGCTTTAGAGAGCCCTCTGTGTGCAATAATGCTGGTTACCAGTACCTTAGACCAGAGGTGATAAACTGGTGACCTGAAGACCAAAACCAACCTGCAGACATGGTTTGTTCAATATGCACTGCACTTTAAAAATAAAATTGAGTTTATTGCTAACCTTTTGAAATTGGAGGAATTCATGTAAAAATCTAGATTTCTGGGCTTCTCCTGAAAACCCTGGGCTCTCTCTCCATCTGGCGTGGCAAGAGCCAACTGGAGAAGTGCAGGTACTTCCTCCTGGAAGGCCCGCACTGTCCAGCTTGGCACAGGCCCCACCCAGCCTGCTGCACTCATTTGTATTTCCTGTCTGGCCCCTGCAAGCATTCTGTGCTTGTGACCCCTGCCTAAGAAGAAAGTCTGTAATCATGTGACAGTTCTATATATCCTTGAAGATTAACATTTACTCTGGCCCATTAAATTCAACCTCTTTCTAGGCATCACTACAAATTGTTTGAAAAAGTTAGCTAGGAATTCTACAAAACAATTTTTTTAAAGGACTGCATATTGCCCTTGTTCTTAGGAGATACATGCTGAATAAAGTCTTTAGGCATGAAGCATTTGAACTAATTCTCAAATGGTGGTGGGGGGGGGGGAGAAGCAAGTATGGCAAAATGTTAATAACTGGTGAATGTAGGGAAAGAGTATACATGTGTTCACTGTATTATTCTTAACACTTAGAAAAACGAAAGAAAAGCAGGTCTTTTTATTATGATAGCTGTGATCTCTGATACCTCCATTTTTGCACTTGCAAAAAGCCAAAACATCATCAGCTGCTGAAGACCAGGACTGTGCCCGACTCTGCCTGTTCTGCAGTGCTCGCCTCGCAGTACCAGGCCACAGCGAAGGTGATCAGTAAGATGTGTGAAAAAATAAAGAATGATTGATTACATGGGACTGGGGGAGAAAGAGTATGTCTCTGGAACCAAACTGCCAGGGTTCGAATTCTGGCTCTACTACCTCCTGGCTGTGATCCTGAATAAGTTATTTCATTTTCCTATGCTCAATTTCCTCACCCGTACAATAGGGTTGATAACAGAGATACTTGCCTCGTAGGGTAACTGTAAGCACTAAATCAGTTAATACATGTTAAGCTTTTAGAATAGTTGTTGATACATAATAAAAAATTTTATATAGTAAAAGAGTAGATACATAGTAAAATAGCTATTAATACATAGTATCACACATAGTAAATTATACATTAATGTAGCAAATTAAAAAATAAAAATGCTAATACTCTTTCCCCTACTTCTAATATAGAACAATGTAATGATCACTACGCTCAGTGGCAGACCTGATTCTCACCGTACGTAAATAGCAAGCAGTGACCGACTCCTTCTAAACCATACCTCTAACTATAACCTAACTCAGATACATTGAACATGTGCCAAAAGGGGAGAGCAAGAAAGGCAGGGTGGGATGATATACAGCAACTGTAACTACTGGGGATTTTAATGCACGTTCATGTCCTGTGTAGAACAGCCCCAGCACCAATAATGCTGATTACCCATATATATTAGACCAGAGGCCATAAATTGGTGACCTAAAGGCCAAATCCAGCCTACAGAATTGGCTTGTTCGTTCCTTATGGTGTTTTCAATATAAAATTGAATTAGTTGCTAACCTTTTAAAATTGGAATAATTCATATAACAATCTAGATTTCTGGGATTCTCTTGAAAAACCTGGCAGCCCTAAGCTCTCTCTCTTCTAGCCAAGAGGCAAGTGGAGACTTGCAACTGTAAACTGAATCTGTCCAACTGTCCAAGGAAGAACCACCTTGCCCACATTTTTTTCCTATAAAAACAAGAGGCAGAGCAGGGTTCTCCTTGGCTAACTGCGAACTGCCCAACATCCAATATCGGAGCCTCTGAACCCATACTGCATTAACTCCACCATGAGACTGTAGGATTCTCTTCTCCAACCACCTACGTGTATCTCAGGAGGCAGACAGATGTGCTAGGACCCCTGGCAAGTTCCAGGACTGACTGTAGCAGAGGAAATAAACACAAGGAGCCAATAATCTGACTGTCAGCACTGAAGCACCTAGGGAATCGTGAAGTGCCCTACGGGGTTTGGTCAAAAATGCGTGGGAAACCAGAATGAAGGTAAAACAGACGTTTTTGACGTTGAAAATACAAGAATAACCCCTTCAACGGCAACACAGAATGGCTTGCCTTACTGTCAGAAAATTACAACTGCACTGTTGAACTGAATATGGTAGTTGTTAACTACATATCACTGAGCACTTGAAATGTGACTAGTGTGACAGAGTAAATGAATTTTTTATTTTATTTAATTATGTAAATTTAAAAACTGATATCAATTCAACTATTGGAAAACATGTTTAAAACAATTTGAGCATATGAATTTACTCTTTCAGCTACAACATTTATGAAATCTAAATACAGATCAAGTACTCCCAGTAAAAATTTTAAACCATATGGAGATGTACTGTAAATATAAAATACACACTGGATGTGAAATAGCTTAATGATTTTTTTATATTGAGTAATGTAGAAATGATATTTTGGATTAAATTAAATATATTATTAAAATTAATTTCACCTATTTCTATTTACATCTTTAAATGAGGCCACTGGAAAATTACATATATAGCTTGCATCATATTTCTATTGGACAGTGCTAGTCTATACAAATGCAAACTTATGAAATATATTCAGAGACAAATCATAAAATGAAACTTCATTCTAGGAAAAGATTACTTTAAACTGAAAACATCTCTGTTGCCTCTAAAATACAATCCCGTTTACTTGTTCAAAGTATACACAGTTTTGAAAAAAAACACCAAGAATACAGTGAGAAAAACATATTCCTAGAATATTTAACAAAGCATATGAAATTGTATTGTACCAAAAATTTTAACAGCTAATTCAATGAAACATTTACTAGATAACAGAAAAAAAAAAGGTTGGCATCTAATATGAGATCTACAGAAGATAACTAATGCCCCAGATACACTTCTCAAGGGGATTTGACCACAGGATTATGATCTCAGCAGATCTATGTCAGCTATTTCAGAGAGCAAAAAGAAAAAAAAAATAGATCAAGAGTGTTTAACAATTCAGAAATCTGAGGCAGCAACTAGCAAAAGTCATTTAAATTGCTCTTTACATACAGGAAGGTGAAAAAAATGAGGAAAACTCAAGGAATTGGGAAGATACAGAAAATTCAAAAACAGAGTTTGAGAAATAAGTTCAGTGGCTTTTTCTTTAATCACAGGAATGCATAAAGGAAAAAAAAACCCAGAGACTTAAAGGTTCTAAAAAATAGTGACGGCATGAATAATGGGATGACCACATTGATGGATACCAATTTCCAATAAATGTTATTAGGTATTCTAAAAAAGAAGGGTCTGCCTATTGCCATAGAATACATAGATTCATTTATGTGACAAGCACACCAAAAGTAGTATGTTTTGGGGGGATTATTTACTGTTGTTGTTTTCAAGCTCACCTTTGACGTTTTGCCTCAAGTCATATTTAGAAGGAGTGTCTCAGCAAATGTTAGCAAATCTTCAGTTGCTCAGGATTCCGAGAGTATAAATGAACCATGTCCCTTTAAGTGGTAACCTAGTAACTTGCTGAGGGGATTAGAACACAAGGGATCCCTGGGGAGGGAGGAAGATTCAAATCCCAGAAGCAGGTGCTCACCACCTTCTGAACTCCTGGCTATTTGGAGCAAGGACAAACCTTAAAGTCATTTCAAAGTAGAGCAGATACTATTCAACAAGTAGAGTAAGTTTTGAGGGTGTATTATGTGCCAAGCATTAAATGATAATGTTGACTTCTCAGAATGCCTGAAAAATAGGTATTGTCTCCATTTTACTGGCAATGAATTGAGTTAAGATGGCTTCACTGATGAATTTTATCAAACATTTAAAGAATTAAAACCAATCCTTCTCAAATTCTTCCAAAGAGGAGAGAACTCATTCTATGAGGTCAGCATTATCCTGATACCAACGCCAGTTAAAGGCATCGTAAGAAAACTACAGACCAATATCCCTTATAAATATAAATGCAAAACTCAACAAAATACAAGCAAACCAAAACCAGCAGCATATTAAACGGATTATACATCATGACCAAGTGGGATTTATCTCAGGCACACAGGGTGGTTCAACATGCGAAAGTCAATCAGTGCAATACACCACATTAATACAATGAAGGAAACAAAACACAGAATCATCTCAATTGGTGTAGAAAACATCCAACACCCTTAAATGACAAAAACACTCAACAAAAAAATAGAAGGGGACTTCCTCAACATGATAAAGGGCATTTTGAAACACCCACAGTGAACATCATACGGAACAGTGAAAGACTGAAAGCTTTCTCCCTAAGATCAAAGATCCCCACTTTCGCCACTTATATTCAACACTGTACTGGAAGTTCTAGTCAGGGCAATTAGGCAAGGAAAAGAAACAAAAGGCATCCAAGTTGGAAAGGAAGAAGTAAAAATGATTTCTATTTGCAGATGATATGATCTTGTATATATAGACAATCCAAAAGAATCCACCCCTCCAACCGGCCACACACACACACACACACACACACACACACACACACACACACACATTTAGAGCTAACAAATGAGTTCACCAAGGTTTCAGGATACAAGATCAATATGCAAAAATCAATTGTATTTCTACACATTGGCAATGAACAATCCAAACATTAAACTGACAAAACAATTCCATTTATAATAGTATCAATAAAAATAAAATATTTAGGAATAAATTTAACCAAGGAGCTACAAGACTTGTACACTGAAAACTATAAAACACTGCTGAAAGAAATTAAAGAAGATCTAAACCAGTGGTTCTCAACCTTCCTAATGCTGCGACCCCTTAATACAGTTCCTCATGCTGTGGTGACCCCAACCATAAAATTATTTTCGTTGCTACTCTGTAACTGTAATTTTGCTACTGTTATGAATCGTAATGTAAATATCTTTTTGTTTTCCGATGGTCTTAGGCGACCCCTGTGAAAGGGTCGTTTGACCCCCAAAGGGGTCACGACCCACAGGTTGAGAACCACTGATCTAAACAAATGGAAAGACATTCCTTGTTCATGGACTGGAAGGCTTAACATTAAGATGGCAACACTACCAAAAGCAACTTACATATTCAATGCACTCCCTATCAAAGCTGATCCTAAAATTCATATGGGATTGCAAGGGATCTGAATAGCCAAAAAAAAAAAATCTTGCAAAAAAAGGACAAAGTTAGAGGATTCACACTTCCCAATTTCAAAACTTAGTACAAAAGTACCATAATCAAAACAATATGGTACTGGCAGAAAGACATACATACAGATCAACAGAATATTAAAAGTCCAGAAATAAACTAATGCACCTATGGCCAGCTGATTTTCAACAATACCAAGACTATTCAATAGGAAAAGAATAGTCTCTTCAATTAATTGCACTGGGACAGCTAGATATCCACATGCAAAAGGATGAGGATAAACCCTTATCTCACACTATATAAAAAAATTAACTCAAAGACCATTTAGCTCTAGATATAAGAGCTTAAACTATAAAACTCTTAAAAGAAAGCACAGGGATTATGACCTTGGATTAGGCAACAGTTTCTTAAATATGACACCAAAAGCAAAAGCAAAAAAAGAAAAAATAGATAGACTGGACATCACCAAAATGAAAACCCTTTGCTCATGAAAGAACACTAACAAGAGAGTAAAAAGACAAACCACAGAACTGGAAAAAATATTTGTAAATCATATATCTGATAAGGATCTAGTATCCAGAATATATAAAGAGCTCTTATAACTCAACAACAAAAATACAAGCAACTCAATTAAAAAATAGGAAAAGGTCTTAAATAGGCATTACTCCAAGGAAGATACACAGCATTTCTTCAAGGAAGATACACAAATGGCCAACAAGTACACAAAAAGATGCTCAATGTCATTAGTCATTAAAAAAATGCAAATCAAAACCACAATAAGATACCACTTCGTACCCACTAGTATAGCTATAATCTAAAAAATTGAAAATAACAAGCGTTAGTGAGGATGTGGAGAAATTAGAATGCTCATAAACTGTTGGTAGCAATATAAAATGGCCCAGTCACTGTGGAAAACCCTTTGGCAGTGCCTTTATAAGTTAAACACAGAATTACCATAGGACCCAGCAATTCCATTCTTAGGTATATATCCAAGAGAATTGAAAACAGGTGTTCAAACAAAAACTTGTACATGAATGTTCATAGCAGCACTATTTACAAAAGCCAAAAGGTAGAAACAACCATTTATCAACTGATGAATGGATAAATAGAATGTGGTATACCTATACAATGGAATACTATTCAGTCATAAAAAGGAATGAAGTACTGGGGCCGGCTGAGTGGCTCAGTTGGTTAAGAGTTGGCTTAAGAGCGCAAGCTCTGAGCAACAGGGCCTCCAGTTCGATTCCCACATGGAATGAGCTGTTGCTGAGCTGCCAACAGGTGGCAGGATGGCTCAGCTGGTGTAACAACAAGATTGCCTGTTTGAAGGTGGGCTATGCCCACCTGCAACTAAGACTGAACTTGGCACCTTGAGCTGAGCTGCCGCCCGGATGGCTCAGTGGATAGGACGTGTGCTCTTAACAATAAGGCTCCCGCATGGGATGGTGGCTACGCCCACCCGCAACTAAGACTGAACACAGCACCTTGGGCTTAGAGGCCATGAGCGGCCGACGGGAAGCCAGATGGCGACTGGCGCCCTCCACAACGAAGACTGAAGAACAACAACTTGGCTGGTCCTTTTCCCCAATTCCCCAACACTGTTCCCCTCCCCCAATTCCCCAATAAAATCTTTAAAAAAAACCAACTTGATAAATTATTTTTAAAAAAAGGAATGAAGTACTGATACATGCTACAACATGGGTGACCCTTAAAACATTATGCTAAGTGAAAGAAGCCAAACACAAAAAGCCACATATTGTATGAGTCCATTTATATGAAATATCCAGAGTAGGCAAATCCACAGAGACAGAAAGTAGATTGGGGTAGCCAGGGGTTGGGTACAGGGTTTACCCGAGATGATGAAAGTGTTCTGGAACTAGACAGTGGTGATGGCTGCACAACATTGTGAAGGTAATAATGCCACTGAACCGTACACTCTAAAATGATTACAGTGGTAAGTTTTGTTTTGTATATGTTACCACAATAAAAAAAATAACAACATATGTACACATAATTCTGAAAAAATTCAAAAAGGAAAAACAATTTAATATGCAGAAAACAATCCAAGAAATCATAAATAATCCTTTCAAGTATAAAACCAATAGATTCTTCTCATGACCAAGGCCATTTCCCTATCTATAGGTGACATCAATTTTCTGCAACACAAGGTTGTCAGGGCTATCCCCCAACCCGGCCTTCCGTGGGTAAGTCGTACTCACCTCCGATTATTCGAATATTGCTGTCCTTGGTCAGAATTGCCTCAGCATGGAACACCAGAACTGGAATTCTCCGGCAGCCTCCAGTCCACATGATGCACGGATGATCCCTACAACCGTAACAAAAGGCTTTATTTACAGCTCAGAATCTGCACTAACTGCTGAGGCAAATCACTATGGTTGAACGCTTAGCAACTTTCCTCCTCCTGAAACAAGAACCCTGAATGTCCTATGGGAAACCATTCATGATCCCCTTCTCAGCCATGTGGTTTAAGATTAATTCCACCCCTGCTTCAGGGATGGGCCTTGATTGGTTTCAGCCCATCCGGCATCCCATCCCCCAGTGACGGTGGCTGCTTCAGGGATGGGCACATAAGCCAATTTAATTGGAGCCAGTGAGGGTCAGGTGACATGTTGTGAGAACCTCTGAGAAAGCGATGTTTTCTTTCTCTTCTCTAGCAGCTACAGAAGAGATGGCCTCTCTTCCCCTTGATGGTGTAAGAGAGAGGTTTGGAAGTGCTACTGTCATTTTGTGACCTTGACAGTGACTGGTAGAGATAAATGAGATCTTGAGTGGCACAACTGGAGTTGCAGAATCAAGTCTTTTCTAAACACAAGTGAATAAATTCTCTTTATTGTTAAGACAATTATGTTTTAGTCCCCAGCACACATAAAGAATCCTAATTAACATATTCACAATAATTTATGGACTCCCTTTACAGCCTGTAGTCCCCCCTTTCCAATTAATTACCCATCCTAAGCTCTTTCCAATTAATTACCCCTCCTAAGATTCTGAGCTAGGAACCCTAAATTAATACTAGTACCCCTATGAAAACCACATATTTTAAAGAAAGACTATACTAAATAGAACAACAGGTATTTTCCTCCAGAAAAGACCTCTGACTTTATTCTCTTTCCCAGGAAATCTATGTTTAATCAATCTCAGTCCAATGCATATTTACTCACAGATCAGGGAACTGCAACCTCCTTAATGAAGGGAGATAGAAAGGGAAGGAAATGATCCGAGTCCCTCCTCTGTGCCAGGAATTAAATGAAGAGCTTTCACATGTTATCTCACTTAATCCTCTTGCCCACACTATAAACTGAAGAAAGAGTGTCTCAGAAAGGTTAAGTGATTTGCCCAAGCTCATACAGCTGGCTGATTAAGGGGACGGTATTGAACTCAAGTGTCTGTGCTCTTTCCACCTTTCCATCACCCTAATCACATTTCAGTGCTGTTCTGTATACGGAACACCTTAAACTCAACTCTTTGGGAACTTAAACTCATCCGTTTCTTAAATGGAATAAGATTCATTGAGCCAAGCAAGATTCAGGCTGCTCTGGAAAACTCACATGACCACACCCCTTAGCAAAGGCCATACCACAAATCTCAAGGCCAAGTCTGACCCTCCCAACCCAAGTTTAAAAAGATCCACACTTTGAATGAACAGGCTGCCAGGCTACCAATCTTAGAAGTAAAGCAGCCCTTAGACTTGGGCTGAGCTGCCAAAAGCCTTTAGTGAAGAAAGCAAAGAACACCATACCTAGTTCATTTCCTGTTGTCTAGAAATGGAATGTGGATGCTTATGGTTCTGACTCTCTGACCAGGGTGATAGTGCCCACTTGTGAGAAATGGTGTTTATAGAGAGCATTTTTTAGCAAGAAGGGGGGGGGAGGGAGTGTGTGTGTGTGTGTGTGTGTGTGTGTGTGTGTGTGTGTGTGTGTGTCTTGCTTTTTAATCTTAAACACCTGTAAAACGTGGGCATGGGGTCAGATAACTCCTGTGTGTGTGTATGTCTTGCTTTTTAATCTTAAACACNACACCTGTAAAACGTGGGCATGGGGTCAGATAACTCCTGTGTGTGTGTATGTCTTGCTTTTTAATCTTAAACACCTGTAAAACGTGGGCATGGGGCCAGATAACTCCTGTGATCTTTTCCAACTTTAATTTTTTCCACTGTATTTCTAAGTCAGAGAATAGAGGGGAAAAAACAGGCAGCCTAAACTACAAAGCCTTGGACAGAAACTGGAAACTACCCAAAGTTCCTTGTCAATCAAGCACTAGCTACAAACTGGCACCACTGTGCCTTGGCACTTAACTTAGAGATAACTTAAAAATGCCTCACAAGACTCAGGAACACAATCAACAGATGCACAGCTGGGAAGAGCCAAGGCCCTAACTATCCTGTGTGTGGAAAGCCAGATCCCTGACAGAGAGAGCGTCTCACTTAAAACCTATGAAAAGAGAAGAGATATTACACAAATTATTAATTCAGTAAGGTCAACTGAAACACACTTAAGGAAGATGCTAAATTGTTATTCAAATCATGTTCCCACCAGGTGGTGCTACAGGGGAAAGATTCAGAATTATTAGGAAACTGAAAATTGGGACCTTAAATTTTCATTCACACCAGAAACTGGTATATAGTAAGAAAAGATGCTTTAGAGGCATGAAAGAAAAAAGTATTTTTTTTTATTAATTACCAAAGTAGACCCAATTTATGGTTTACTCTATTGAAAACCTAAGAACATTTTCGTTTTTGAGAAGCAATTTCATGAGGAATATATTACTGTTCACTCCTGGGATCCAGCCTACATAACTCAAAGCTGCCATGCCTTATTCAGACCAGTGCCCCTGCTGGGAATGCCCTCCCCACGTCTCTCTGTTCATTGAATCCCACCCTCCAAGGCCCAGCTCATCTCACTAGCGCCATGAAGTTCCCAGTTCCTCCAACTCACAGTGATCCCTTCTTTCTCTGTACTCCTATAGCACTCAGTGTATCATCATTTGTTGATGGTCTTTTATTTTTTCCATGTAAATGCTGATGATCTGTTCAGCTGATATAAAGCCAGCTTTTATGATAGACATTAAAGTTACTATTTTTTCAAGTGACAAAAGAAACCTTATATCAAATCTTTTTATGAAAGTTTCCGCATCTATATATAAATTTGTATTTGGGATCCCCAAGCAAAACACAGAAAAAGAGCCCCTTTTGCATTTACTATTTGAAATAATGCCATGTAAAGCAAGTACTGCCTGGACAGTTTCTAGCCCTAAATTTTCACTAATTGCTAGAAATTTAACATTTCTCAATTACAAATATAGGCAGCAAAGCACAGCAGTATTAGCATTATCTGTGCCGTTGACTCTATCTCAAATTACAGATTTTTTACACCATTTTACAGTTGATGCCAGTGTCTTAAAATAGCATATACATCTATCACTACTTCTAAGTTATGTTAGTTATTAAACGTGTCACTAGATCACCTGTGATCACAGTCTTCCTCATCCGGTGTGATGAGTCTAGACAATGATTTGGCATCTCTCCCCCAAGCAATCATTCAGCTGCCAAATGGAAACAGCTCACATTGGTGGTCCAGATATCTCTGATGTTTCCTAGTATTCCCCACTTATAAGTGTTCATCAAAGACCACCCCACAGTGTGCTGATCTATTGCAAAGTAAGCAAAAAGTCTTCATGCTGCTGTCTTTAGAAAATAAAATTTAACTTCCCCATGTTTCATATGAATGATCTTGTTATTTAATGTATTAATAAGAAAGCACATGTAACTGTAACATGTCTTTTTATTTTGATAACTGCATTTCAGTGTAATTGGCATTCTGTATAATGATACGTATTTTATTTTAAACACTTAAAAATATTATTCTAACAAGGGAGCCATAGCCTTAAAAAGGTTAAGAATGCCTGATCTAATGTGATCTAAAGCATACAGTTTCTATTCATTCATTCATTCATTCAGTTAGTCACTCAGTCAGCTAGTATTTATTGAGTACCTACTATAATAGTAGGTTGAACCAACTAAAATTGGCAGTATTTGACTGTTTTCACCTACCAAAATGGCAATTTCATACAGTTCAACCTAATGCTTATCGGGCCCAACTGCTAAGAGAGATATTTATAGAGTAAAAGAATGACCTTGAAATTGGAAAAACCAATGCTTGGAACAGAAGTTAAAATTTTTGTGAAATGGGTAAGAGGCAGCACAAAGAAAGCAAAAAGTCACAAGTAGGCAAAGTGGCCAGAGGGAATTATCCACTTAATTATCCTGCATGAGACTGACCCAAATATAACATTAAATCTCTATTATTTTCTATAACCTAAAAGTGATGAGAAACCTTTCCCCAAAGCTTTATTAACGCCTCAATAATTTTTTCAAGTTGTATTAAATAATGTAACCTTCTATTTTATAATAAGAAGTCCACTTTAAATTCAATATTAAAGCCAGTAAGAAGAATGCCTTATATTTGTATGGCACTTTATAATTCACACAGTAAGTTCATATACATTATTCTATTTGATCCTAATCATACCCCCACAAAACAGCCCAGGAGCTATTATCCCCATTTTTCAGGTTACACAGCACACATATATCCAAGGAGGCTTGCAGAAAATCTTAAAAACAAATCTTAACTTTAAGCCAGTCTTTCTCTTTGTTCTCTGTGTTAATAATCTTAAAGAAGGCAAAGTTGCAAAGTGCTTCAAAATTCAATATAACTAGGTATGAATCTCAATCCATCACTTACTCTATGCATCCCTGAGGAAGTACTTTGATATACGCGTATTTGAGGCTGAGCTTAAAGCGAAACAAACAACATCTTCAGATTAAAGGAAATACAGTAGTTAAAGCCCTACCATCATCGGTAATAGCAGCTTGCACGTATCACTAGCATTTATATTTTCATTATGAGAATCCAGCAATCAAGAAACTTGACTCTAATCTAAAAAATGCAGGAAACAATTGTGGTTCCATAGACACAGCACAGGCTATAGAACTCTAATGTCCTGCCAAAGTTACTCTGGTAAGTCACCTGACCTCTCTATATTATCATCATTCTTTCATTGTAAAGTCTTTGAGAAAGTAACATAACCAATGTCACCGAGTTTGGAGACCTACTTTTCTTCAATATATAAAAATTTCAAAATCTCCTATTAGGAGCTTTGTTCACAAGCTTACTAAGAGCTTCTACCTGCAACATCTAGAGCCTATGTTCATTCATGAGTCCAGAGCCTTATCTCACTTCAGATAGCTGATGGGGACCAAATCATAAGATCCTGAATTAGATCATGGATAGAGGCTAAAATCAGAGTCAGACAATTCCAAAGGAAGGATATTGCATAAAAGAGTATATCAGTAAAGAAAACTTTTCCATCCTAGAAACAAAGGTTCAAAAGCAGACTTGCTATTACTTACTCTTGGCTTACCACCTCCTCATCCTCTGAGGATGATGCTATTTCCTCCAGGTCCCGGGCCATCACGACTGGCATTTCCTTTAGGGTTTGTCATGCAGTCAGCAGATGGGGGAGCCTCAGAGACCTTTCCTTGCGGATTCACTGGATCAAACAATTTGGGTGGCACAGATTCCTGTAAGAAAGCCAAATGATGTGACACATACACAATATGAAGTCTATTTGTTGATTATTGCTGATCTTCCAAAAAATTAAAATGAATATTTACCTAAATGGTGCCCAACCTGTAGAAGCTTACCTTCTATCACAGTGCCTCACAAATGCCCCAAAGATCCAGTTTTTTTCCCAAACATACTGTCTGTCCTCTATGTATTAATATTTAAAGACTGTTAAGCTTGGCTTTCTCATTTTTCTTTTATATATCTAACATGCACCAAAGGAATAAACTTACTTAACTTTTAGGAATCCACCTACTTTAAGGTAGGTGGATGATTGCCTAAAACAGATTTCCTGCTAGAAAAACCTAACCTGGATTAAAGTAAAAACTCAAGATTTAAGACCCTTGCAAATATTTCTTTAGCTTCCATGACAAGCACACAAGTTAAATGCCCTCATGTTTCCACTAAAACAAATTCAACCACTGAATCAAAAGATATATAGATATATAGATATATAGATATTCTCCTGAATCAAGGTCATAAATAGCTGGGGGGAAAAGTCCTTTCAAACACTCACAAAAATTACTCTCCCTGGCTAAAAATCACAAACTATGACCTGAATCTCAAATAGACATTAAAATTAGGATATTTCCAATATCTAACTTAAATTTTTTCCAGAGAAAAAGTATATGTCCGTTATGTTTGAAAGAGGAATAGAAATTACAGATAAACAAAATGAAAATATTTAAATGACCATAATCCCATAATTCTGAGATAACCATTGGATGTCAGTCTTTCCAAACTTCATTTTTCTATGCATTCATATAAACGATAAAATTACAAACAGGACCAAAAAATGCCAATCCTGATAATGATCCCTACAGATCTTCAGCAGAATGGGCAATATCTAATAACCTCCAAAGGCGTTCTTCCAAGGATTCCCAATGGGATTTCTCGATCTTTCCCAAATGTTGGCATGTCCTTGCAATTAAGACAAAACCTCCAACCAAGAGGGGATGCCAACCTGTCCTAGGCTGCCTGTAAAGCAGGGAGAGAGGGCGTTCGGAAGAAGATTAAGGACACTTGGCCAAGGAGTATCCTCGCCCTAAAGGGATCAGCCCCTCAGCCCCCACCCCTGGCTCACCCCAATCCCGGGTAGGTCCGCAGATGCTCCCCACGGGAAGGACGCGGGCGACTCAGCCGCAGAGATTCAGCCCGGCGCGCCCGGAAGCCAACAGCTCCTCCCGGACTCTGGAGGGAAGTACAGCGGGCGGCGCCCGCCCAGACCCGGGAGCGCACCTCCCTCGGGTAGGGGAGCGCGCCGGCGCAGGCGTTTACCTGTCTCATCTTCCCATGGCTCGGGGCGGGCAGGCGGGGACCGCGTTCAGCGCCTACCTCCCTCCTCCTTCCCCAGCCGAGCTCACGCCGCGGCCGCGGACGGGTGCTTCCCCCGTTACTACAACAACCAACAAGCAACCGCCCGCTCGGAGCCACTGCGCAGGCGCCCGCCACCTGGCGCTAAAAACGCTCGACTTCAGGCGCGGACGAATGTCGTCACCTCCAAGCAGCGCGGGCTTAGGGCCCGCTCTCAGAAAAATCTTGCCTATTTCTCTCTCTGCCTCTAAGGGATTGACTCCGAGCCCGGAGTTCTTCCGCCACGCTCACCAGGCGGGTTCACTGCCTGAACAGCGTACCGGAGCTGAGATTTGGGTAGCGGCCACCGCTGATTGGCAGTAAAGGGGTTCACGCCCCATCTCCTGCTTGAGCGGAACCAGAGCAGCCAATCAGAGCGAGGACTGACGGAAACGGCCCAATCCTGGAGCCAGGTGAGGGCGGGGGCGGGGACAAATGTCTCAGGTGCACTCCCAGCTGGAGCTTTCTTGGGGTAGTATCTTTGCTGCAGGTGCTGCTTGGCTGGGGTCCTTGTCGCCAGGTAAGGAGAATACGGGAAGAGGAGGGATGTCGGTGTCTGTGTGGCTTCTGATTGAGAGGATCCAGAGAGGAAACCTTTTGGGGGGAAAAGGGTTCGAGAGACCATGAGAAGGAGGAGCTAAGAAGAGGAGGGCTTGGTAGAGTCGTGGAACGAATGAATGGATGAAAGAATGAGCGAACACTATGAGCCTAGCACGGTGCAAGGAACCTTCACTTTCTTGCGTGATTCTTATAATAACCCAAATAGGTATTTTTCTTTTTAAATCTCCAATTTTCAGGTGAGGAAACCTAGGCTGTAAAGTTTAAATGATTTGCCTTGGGTCACACAGCTACTAACCGGTAGGTGCAGGATAGGAACGCCTCTCTCCTGACTCAGGTTTTACCACCACACCTTTGCTGGGCTGGGACAGGGCAAAATTTGAGACTAGATGTTGGATACTCTAGAAGGCCCTCAAGCTTTAGGGAAATGGGGTTGGAGTGTTGGTAGAGCAATTCAGGAAAATACATAGGTTCTGCCCTCTTCAGCTATCTGTTGTGATTTCTAAGAGCTTCTGTGAAATGGAAGGCATAAGTTCTGTCAAAAAGAGGGGCCAGCCACGCAGCTTTTCTGACCCTGCGAAGAGAGAACCCGAGTCTCCTACCGAGGGAGGATGGGGGGTGGGCTCCTGGCCCAGGCTGTAACTGCTTGTGATGTCCAGTATTCTCTCTGGACTTTGACCAAGTCCACTGTTGTGATCCACCTTTCCCCGAAAAAACCATCCTTTCACCCTTCCACCTCTTGAGTTCTTTTTTGGGTTTTTTTGGTGCTTCACACTGTCTTGAGCCGTGGCTGACTTTAATATGTTTCATCTGGGTAGTGTAGGACCATACTGAAATTTTTAATGCCAGAGTGACAAAGGGAGCCTGATAGTTTGTCACCACGTCAAGCCCAAGAAGTTAACCTGACAGCAGATAAACCGTGGGGGGAAAAAAACCAACAACAACAACAAAAACATAATGAAGATGGGGAGAAGTAATTCCATTGTTAGATTCTTTATCTACATGGGTGTTATTTAAGTCAAGCTAATTGAAATCAATGCCCAGCAAGGGTTGATCTAAGCTTTTATTTTTAAACAAAAGCACATAACCTAATTGTATTTTCTATACAACTTGAAGACCAAAGAGGATATGGTATGGTTGTCTTCCTCAAAAATGGAAACTTCATCAAAATATTCTCAAACATTGAGGCAATGTAGAGTCCAACACTATGCTTCATAGTTCAGCTCCGCCATATATTAGCTGTGTATCCTCAAGCAAATCACCTAACTTCACTGTGCCAACTTTCATCAGGAAATTGGAAATCTTAATAGTGTCTACAATACGTTAGGCGGTGCTTTTCACAGTGCCCGGCACATACAAGTGCCCAATAACTGTTACCTATTGCAATTTCTCTTGCAACCCAATGCCAACACTGCTGTTTCCTGCCCCATATAATGTCTTACTAGTTCTCAAGCCACAGCAGTTTATTTTTAACTTTTAGATTGTTCTTATAGTTTATGGAGCATGGCAGACCTGAGAACCAGAGCAGAGAAAATCTGTTTATGTAAATATTGCCCTCACACCATAGATTCCACTCAAATGTGTAAGGCTTCTATCCACTTGGAAGGATCTGTAATCAATAGCCAAGTATCTGTTCGTAGATTTCTAATCACCTTTCAGCCACTTGCATTACAAAGGAATGACATGAAAAACCAGGCTAGAAGTAAAGATGTAAGATGAAAAGAGCTCTGATGGAGGGTAATATTTTGGAGACATTTCTCAAGGCAAAGATAAGTACTATGCCTCTTATTGCAAAACATAGTGTTGATTCACCACTATTACTATGACTGCATATTGAGACCAATTTCTGTAAGCCTCACACAGAAATCCACTTTATTACTTTATAGTAATACTTGTACACCTCTTCTTCTGCTGCCTTTCTTCTCTCCAGTGTTTCTGCTGGGTTTGTCATTTCTACCCACTGCATTATTTAGCCTTTTTCACTCTGGATAAAGGTCAGCACACTTTGGCTTAAGGCAAATATTCAAAAGCAGTGTGCCAACGCTATGAAGGTTAACAGTAGTGTGTTAAGATAACTGGGGGTGGATGAGCCTAGGGGAATTGCAGAGGAATTTATGAAGCGATTGACCAAATCATCTTAGTACAGCCCTCATGCGTGGGACATAGGCTAACTCCAGAGGTGAGAGAGGTTATGGTTCAACTAGACTGACCATCTGTTGTCTCATGTCCTTTGCCTTTGTTTCCAAGGCAAGAAGCCCTTTCAGGTTTGAGGGGAGCCATGAGCCGGTTCCTGAATGTGTTGCGAAGCTGGCTGGTTATGGTGTCCATCATAGCCATGGGGAACACGCTGCAGAGCTTCCGGGATCACACTTTTCTCTATGAAAAGCTCTACACCGGCAAGCCAGACCTGGGTAAGAAGGCAAATAACTGCATCCCTCGTGGGTGTGGCCTAAACTGTGGTTCCAGACTAGGCTGTATATCAGAATAACCTAGGAAACTTACAAAGTGCGGGTGCCCATTTCCTTCTCCAAAACTATTTACTGCAACTTTCACCCCCTGGGTGGGGCCCAGGAATCTATTTTTAGTAACGTTCCAGGTGATTCTGATGCTGTCTACTCTAGTCTTTGGACGCCACTAGAGTACTAGACTTGGTGGATAGCACTTGGCCCTTGTTTCCCCCCAAAGCTTCTCTGAATACTTTTTCATTCATGTTACACTGCCGTAGGCAGTCTGTAAAAAAAGCATTACAAGGGCAAAGGAGGAAATAGAGTTACTTGGTGACTCTGTGATGCCCCACTAGAAAGCCATAAAGAAACTTTTCATGTTGTCTCAACCCTCTTCAGAAGTCAGGTCGTGGCACACATGGTGACATTCTATGTTGCAGATGGAAAGTTACTAATCCAAGGTCTTCCCAAACCATGATATAGTCCCCAAGAAGACATCCCAAATCCTTCCAAGTTGGTCTCCCAAAATGACTGCAGAAGGCCCATGGTGGCCATTCCCAGTTTCCTGAGCCTCTCTGCTGTGTTTTCACATTTCAGCTTGCACATCCTTGCATTGATATGTGGGGTACCTTGAGCTGCAGCACCATTTCACAGCAGCTGACAATTCTGTGTCACATTTATAGCTAACCCAGATTCAGACTCTGCCCTAGCTCATTTTTCTGCAACATGTGGGTATAAAATGAACTAAGTAGGCTAAGGCCCATTTTGAAAAGCTGAGATACAATAGGAGTAAGAACCTTGAAGACAGGACAATTCCACTTTTTCATCCTCAGCTGCTGCCCTCAGATGGTCCAGGAATCCTGTATAGATTCACGAGACTTTAGAGGTTATCTGGTCTAGCACTTTGGATTTAAGTTGAGACAGGGAAGCCCGGGGTCATGTGACTTGCTGAGGGCATAGAGCTGAGCAAAAGAAGTGTGTGTGTGTGTGTGTGTGTGTGTGTGTCTATGTGTGTTTGTGTGTCTGTGTGTCTGTCCCCAGCCCAGAAGCAGAGATTGCCTCCTGGACTCTTGTGATCTGGGGCTGTCATGGCACCCTGCTGATCATAGCAGTACTCTGGTAGAATTGCACCTGATGCCTAATCTGGTTAGAACTGGTGAAATACTCCACTTTCGCTCTCACTAACCACAGAAATGTCCTCAGTCTTCTCATCAGAAAAGCTATCAAATTGGTTTATAAAGAATGTAGCCCACTGGGGCTAACTGCTAGATATTGGGTTGGCGAATGGAATTTTTTCTCACCTAACTACTATCCAAAGGTCTTCAGGGTTGTGAAATTGGTATCACTGTCTGGTTTTTCCAAAGGCTGGAAAATCCTTAAAGCCCAAGTAAACATTTCAGTTTTCAGACTTGTCCCTTGAAATTTCTCTTGCTCGATAGACCAGTAAACAAAGTATCTTTGCGTTCAGTTTTGGCATTCCGACCACTGGATGCCTTACATCAATGGCTGTACATTGCAATCACCGAGGGAGGGGTTGTTTTAGAAAATACTTATGCCCAGGGTCCACTTCCAGAGAGTATGATTTAATTGGGCTGGTACCCAAATCTTGGTAATTTCATAAAACACTTTCAATTAATCTAATAAACACCTAGGTTCGAGAACCACTTTATGGTGGAATATGATCTATCTTTTCAGGTCAAGATCTTGAATACAGCAGTGTCAGAACAAAGCCACCAAGAGCAGGGTGGCCTCAGCAAACACTAAAGAAACAATGCTTTGTTCCACCACCATGTGTGCAGGAAACCAGCCTGGTCTGGGCTTTGTTCAAACAATATAGAGCTGGACTCAGGAGGAGACGCAGGGACTTAAGCCTCTTTCAGACTAACTGTGGGCATCTAGATAGGTCCCAGGATTTCTGAGTTCTCTCCTCCATCAGTCTTGAAACCTCCCAGGCATTCCCCATTGCCAGGCTTCTCCCAAACCTGTCCTGATCTAGACTCACTGGGCGTCACCAACACCAGAGTGACTTCCAGAGCAGAGGTATAAACCGCTACATCCAGAGGTTATTTGCCCAACTGGGCTCTTTGGGTTTCCACTCTTGGAACTGCCCCAGCCAGCTGTAGACATCTGAAGAGGAGCTGAGCAGGTCTCACTTGGCAATTCCTTGCATTCCTTCTGGTTCCCATTGCAGCACCAGAGTCTCCACTCTGCCCAGCCAAAGGTAGTTCAGGCTCAGCTCCCTGCCCGCCGTGAACCACCAGTGAAGGAGAAAGAGTGTGGAGGGGACCCTAACCTTCTCCTTCTCAACACTCTTGCTTGTTTCTGTTACGCAGTGAATGGCCTCCAAGCTCGGACCTTTGGGATCTGGACGCTCCTCTCATCGGTGATCCGCTGCCTCTGTGCCATCGACATCCACAACAAGACGTATGTAAGGGAAGGAGGGCCCTTAGCATCCTTTTGTTGGAAATCAGGTGCTAAGCCTACCCACTGTGGTCCTCCCCGTGGAGACCTGTTCATTTGGATGCATTAGCCTAGACTGTGGATAATAAAAGGTTAATAGCTTCCATTCCTTCCAGGTTTAAAAGACGTAATAAGCCTAACAGGTCTTTAAAGTTTGAAAATTCTTTGGAAACTGACATAAGCAAATTGGCAGTGCCGTGATCCAGTGGCCTGCACCATAGGCTTCTTCTTCTTTATGAAAGAATCAGCCTTTCTTCTACTAAAGAAGTAGAGTAGTGTGCTCTTTTTAGAGCAGCCACCCACACATACCTTGTTCTTATACTCCTCCTTAAACAGGAATGAACAGAAATCACAGTCCATGAAAAAAGGGACCCACCAGTAAACTGCTGTATGGTTATGCTGAGGCGGGTGAAAGAGAACCCAGGACTCCTCTGTGTTCTGCTTCTCTATTCCACTCTAATAGACTAGTGTGGAGTGATAATGGCAAACAATCGTAGCCCCTTGTCTAGAGACTGCTGTAACTGGCGCTGGCCACTAGAGGGGACTCGAGCCGTGTTCCCAACAACCACAATCAAGGGGAAAAGTTGGCTCAGGTCAGTGGATCAAGTCACCAAAACGCCAACTTCACACTAAAATATTTTTGTCTTATTCAGATTCTCAGCCTCTGGGAAGGAGAGGAGGTAATGCTATTTATTGAGTCCCTCGTATTGTGCCAAGAGTTTTCATCTATGTGACCCTAATTAAGTCTCCTGGCAGTCCTGGGGGGCAGTGATTTTCATTCCTAGTTTTGCAGATCTACATATTCGAGACCCAATTAATTTAAACTGAAGAAGACTGACTCAAATGGGATTTGAAGCAGGATTATTAGCTCTGCCATCTCTCCAATGTTTTTTTTAATTTTTTTTTTTTTTTTGGAACTTGAAACTGGTTTACTTATTCTAAATTGACACGTATTTCTGGAAACTGTGGTTTAATGGAAACAGCCTGGGGCCTGAGAAGGAAAACAAGAAAGTCGGCTCTGGTGTCAATTCTATTGGTAACTACAATAGCTTCGTAGCAGCAAGCTCATTGTATACCTTCTCTGCATCTCCGTCTCTTCGTGTAGAAAAGGAGACTAGTATATCTGTTCTACCTCTCAGGGTGACTGGGAGGGAGAAAGGATTGAATAGTCTTTTAAAGACCTTTACCATGAGGAAGAATTGCTGGTAGGTATAAAGGGTGTAGCTTTTGTTTGCTGTGCTTTTTGGAATGAGCCAAAACAACTCAGACTTATCTATACCTCTATTACCCATTCATTTACCTTTCTCCAAATACTGGACAGCTGCAAATGCTGACGTCTGTTTCCAACCATTTTTTAGCCTGGACTTTTGTCCATGTACTTCTAATTCTATTCCCTCCCTAACTGGAAACTCAAAGTCAACTTACACATATTTGTTAAATGTAGAAAAACATGCACAGGAATGATAAAAATCAAATTTAAGATATCGGTTCCTCCTGGGGAAGGGTGGAGGCAGGAGAATGGGATAAGGATACACACGATGTTTTCACTGATATCTGTAATATTTTATTTCTTAGAAAAAAGTATCTGAAGCAAAACCGTCAAAATGTTCAGATTTGATGGAGCAGGGTATTGGTTGCTTAGGGGTAAATTATAGTATCTTATTATCTGTAATTTTTTGTATGTTTGAAGTATCTCATAATTTAAAATTTTTCACAGTTAAAAACAAAAAGGTATCAACAATCCAAACAGCCATCCTCTCTTCCCCACCTCGTCAAAGCTGGGGAACAAGTTCTCTTCCCATGAAGTTGTCACCATGTCCTCCATCTGACCATTCTCCTGGGCTGACACAAACTAACCATCCCACATTGCAAGAGCATCTAAAATCCCCCAAGAGGTCCCTGATGCTCATTCTCCATTCGGGCCCTTCGTTGTGTAGCATTTATCACATGAGCACTGACCAGCCCCTGGCCAAACACCTGCCAGGTGGGTTCTGACTAGAGTCGAGCCAATTTGAGTAAGGGGAATCTGTAAATGTGGTTGATCCAAAATCATCTACACCACCTGGGATTGCCGTAATCCAGACCCTGCTTTGCTATAGCTAGCTTCACCACCCTGCCAAGATGTGGAGATCCACTCTGGATGCCTGGACCATTCTCCTCTCGGTGTAGCAGTTGAAACCTTCAATGTTGCCCTAGTAGAGAATACATGGATGTGATCAAGCAGCCAGGTCTTTCTCAGGACCGAGTCTCCTTTTCCTTTAGCCATAGTCACTTCCTGGGTTTTATCTCTGTGTATCAAGCCTGACCACAACTTTTCGTCTGCACGGAATAAGTAATACTTCAGTTCCCATCTCTGTCTGCTCCCTGTAGGCTCTACCACATCACGCTCTGGACCTTCCTCCTCGCCCTGGGACACTTCCTCTCCGAGTTATTTGTATATGGGACCGCGGCTCCCACGATTGGTGTCCTGGCACCCCTGATGGTAGCAAGTAAGCATGAAACCACCCTAGACCTCCCACGGGAACGGTCCCAGCCCTCGCGTACATACAAGGGATACAAGAGAGTGTCGTGCTTATGTCAGCCTCTAATCTTTTCTCTGTTTTTAAGGTTTCTCAATTCTGGGGATGCTAGTTGGGCTCCGGTACCTAGAAGTAGAACCCGTATCCAGACAGAAGAAGAGAAACTGAGGCCAACATGACCACCTCCGAGACTTCGTCTTCCATCTTTGCTGTCTTCTTCCTTTATCCTCTCTGTGCTTTAATTCCTTATTTTCTGCTCCATCATCCGCCCCCTTATCCACTAATATTGCCTTTTACGTTTTGCTTTGTTTTTTTTACATTTAAATTTTTTTAAAGTTATAACATGCATACAGAAAAGTATGGACAATTTAAATTATCATTGTAAAGTGGCCACTCTGTACCTCCATCCAGATCAAGAAATTGTCAGCACCTCAGAAGCCCACTGTGTGCCCGTCCCTCACCTGCAGCCTCTTCCAGGATCTTTTTCAGCCTTCTGGCTGTTTTCCTTTTATTTCCATCCCCCGATTTGACTTGTGTGGTGGGAACACATGGACTGAGAAACTTAAAGCTGCTGCCTCACCCAGAGCAGCTGCCACCAAGGGCTGTTTCAAGGGGTTGTCCAGCCATGCTGGGCTCCTCTCTGCTGCTGGACCCAAGACTCTGAACCATCCAAGAGGGACAGGAAGTTCTTCTAAGAAGGGCTCCCCTGTGCGGGAACATGGCTTATCTCCTGTATCTGCAGGGATCAGCGGTGGAAGAGTCTGGGCTGTTTTTAGACCTTCTAGTCAGCTGTATTTGAGTAACAAATTTTGTAATAAACAGAAAAACCCTCTGCTCTGATCAGTCCTTGTACTTTGATCTGCCTTAAGTCAAGAGCACTCCTGCCGTCCTCTGAGCCCCACCACAGGGAAATCACAGCTTTTTGCTGATCAAACACACCACAGTGAGTAGGACAGCCCCAAACCCAGGCAAACCTGGCTGCCTCCGGCTCCTCGTGTCACTTGTCCATTTCCCTTGAAGTCAAATCTTCCTCCTCTCCTTCCCCACCTATAAGATTCTGAGTTCATAACTGAACGTCAGGACCCTTTCTAGTTTTCTTCCTAAGAAACAGATTCTTGAGGAAGCAGAGGCAAAAAAAAAAACACAAAAAACAGGCAGCATAGAAGAAACAGCTGCATAACAATGAAAAGGAACCCCAAGGATAACGCACTAGAGCAGTCGCCCTCCAAACAACCCCGCGGGGCTCCCCATTGGCTGAGCCCTCACACACCGAGTGTGGACTGGAGAGCCCATTTATTCTTTCAACAGGTATTTATTGAACACTTACCGCACACCAGACACTTGGGAAAGAGAAATGAATGACCCTGCTCCCGTGACCCTTACATTGTCGTCAAGGAAACAGGCAATAAACAAGCCAACAAGTGAACACCTTAAGAGATAAGAATTTTAGAAAACAAGTACTGTCATCCAGAAAGGGTGGGGAATGCATAACTTTCATCATCTGGAAATAGGAGGTAAGATTTTAGTTGGGACTTGAATGCCCAGGTATCATGTCTTAAGATATGCATCAGGTATTTAAGGCACTGCACAGCGTCTGGAAGGCAAGGGACGGTCTTGCTCACTACTAAGATCAGTGTCACTACAGTATGGTGAAGTTAGGAAGAGATAAAGGGAGGCAGGGAACTTGTAGGGCAGGATTGGAAGCTTAAAGTTGATACTTAAATGCATTGAAAATTATCAGTTAAGGCTGTCTTGGTGAAAGGAGTAAAATCTACCTTAAACTAGCTTAAACAATCAAGAGAACATTGGCTCACCAAATGAGAAAGTTACGAGGATTACAGGCCTCAGGAATGGTTGGATCAGGATTCAGCTCCATTTCTCAGCACCATTTCTTGTGGCTCCACCCACCTGTGTTGGCTTCATTCTCAGGCTGGCTTCCTTGATGGTGCCAAACGTGGCTGCAGCACTTCCACTCACGTCCCCACAATACTACATCTAGAAAAATAGCTCCATGCTAAGAACTGTCTCTCCCTTACCAACTATTGTAAGGAAGCAGGAAGAAAAGCAATGATCTTACAGAGATAACGTTTGAGTGGAGATCCACATGGTACCCAAGAAAGGAGCAAATGAAAGCATAAGATGATTTGGATCATCACAGAAAGGTGATTCCAGATAAATAAAGACAAGATCCCACAGGATCTAAGAGATGATGGACAGTAGTTAGCAGACACTATGAATATTAGATTTCTTGAACAGCCCAGACTTGGCTCCGTTCCCAGATGATTTAAAGTAGAATTGCCAACAGATATGAGCCAGAATGCCACAGGTAGTGTGACTCTCTAGGCAAGAAATGTACAGAAAACTGGTAGCAGCATATCCAAGTGATACAGAAGGCGAACTAGGTTGGGAAGGAGAGGATGGCAGTAAGTTGGACAGGTCAGAAGGAAAATCGTAACACAGAACTGCAGATGCGGAAACTGGACTCCAGCCTGAGCAAGCTGGTGCGTGGCTGGGGTGACTGTAGAACAAACACTTCAGCCACCCTTTGAAGCAGAGCCAGAAATAACAGTGGGCTCTCTCATCAGCGGTCACATTCAGCGAACCTTCTTCATGTGTACACACTACGAGAAGCGGTCAGGGTCATGAGTTGGATGCTGAGTTGCAGTCACCCACGTAGGCCGACAGTAACCTTTACAATCTTGTCTTTTAAAACTAACCCACGAGAACGGTGACATCTATGTAAACGCAGGACCACTTCTGTGGTCCTCTAGCCCCCACCCGCCACCCCTCCAGCCCTTTCCCACGCCTTAGTCACAATCCTCAGAAACGTGCAGTAATCTCGTGGGGACTACGGAAGGCCATCTCTGCCCCATCAAATAACAAGACAGACCACGTGGACAATCTTTTACTGCCCTAAAACATCTGGTTTACAAATAGGAAATACAAATCATATTTTTAAAATAAAGCAATGGATTCAGTAAACATTTTGTTAATATATTTTAAGAGTCTGAAGAGAAAACACCTTTCGCCTTATCAAAAAGTAAGGCATACTTTCTCTCCATTTCTCTTCCACCCCTACCGCACTTCCCCCCGCCACCTGAAGTCTGAACTTCTTTTATTACGTACAGTGTCTGTACACACACACACACACACACACACACACACACACACACACACACACACCCTGGCTCCCCTCGGGCACTGGCCCAAGCACCCCAGCACTGTTGCCAGTGCAGGCTGCTCCAATATGCTGAGTCCAGGGCAGGCGCCACAGCAAAATGGCACAGTGGTCATGACTGTAGCTGTTCAATGTACAGGAGAAATTACCAAAATGTCTTATTTTCAGGAGATGCTACCCAAGCCCCTGAGTAGAGACAGACAGCAGGTTAGGCAGCAGAGGAGGGCAGTTTGGGTTGGTTTAAATTTAGAACCGATAAAAATTATTGATAGAAGGGGGTGGGTGTGCAAATACTGTCCCCACCAGAGGTGGGATACACTTAATTCTTGCAGACCACTCAATCCCCATTTTAAGGGCCACTTTCCTTCCGCCCCTTTCTTCTTATCGGTCAGAAGCAGCTTCGGATTTCTCAGGGCGAAGTAAATGAAGGTTAGTTTTCAATAAAGGTTACAGGAAGTTGGCTGGTATTTCCCTTTCCAGGCCAGTGACTAAGTCTCTCAAGGCCGTGACCATAGGAAGGCATCAGAGGTGACTGACACACACAGAAGCCCCTGGGGCATGACTTCTTTTGCAGAAAAGAACCTCCCTGTTCCCAAATCAAGCTACCAGAATTCCCAAACACAGGCCTTCACAAACACACTCGGCAGGTAGCCCCAGCACCCTCACGCACCTAGGCCATTAACTTCTCCCAAATTGGTTTCTCCTTCATGACCGCAAAGGTTTTCTCAAGTTTATTGACATTGGTTTGACCAGCTCATAGGAAAGAGGGTTTGGAGACAGACTCCAGCACTAGGCCAGAAGACTCTAGGCTCAGAGTGCTGACAGGTTTGTTCTGATGGAGCTTGTTTTGATGGTGCTTTCCCGCCCACAGAACGATAGCCATGAGTCTGATGACCCAAGAATGACCCTCATCCAGAGCAGTTGCCACTCCTGAGAATTGGGCTTCTAAGGGTCTTAAGATACTAGAAAAAGTTAATATCCTGAATAAGCTTTCTTTCCGTGATAATTTTGCAGGCTTTCTCCATGAGGGATGGAGGTGAAGAGGGAAGGCCAGGCGCCCCTACTCACTAGCCTCTCCCAACACCAGCTCCCAGAATCCCAAGAGGAGGGGGCAGGATGTGCCTCTGGTGAAAGGTGCGACTTTCCCCAGTGAGACCATGCAGGCTCTTGAGTTGGTTCCAGGAGGCACAGGCACTGCTCTCAAAGCCACAAACGTTCCAGCCGGTTCCCTCCAAAAGCTGCTCTAGCGAAAACCTTTGTGCTGGCAGTGAGGACTCTGCTGACTGAAGAGGTGGGTAGTCTCTGTGTTCCCTGAGTCGCAACCGCCTTCTTCTCTCAGAGATGCTCCTCAGATATGGCAGTGGGTGCTCTGCTGGTATTGCTCTCCTCCTCCTCCTCCTGGAGTTTCTACAAGGCAAAACACGCAGGCAGCCCTTTGGGTGACCAAGCACACAGGACTGCACCCTGGGTGAAGCGACTATAATCAGCGGGGAAAACAAGGGCCAGAAGCCACCCAGCATCTTCCAGAGGGAACAGAGGGAACAAAAGAAGTAACCAGCCCCTGGCACAAGTGTGCTCCCTAAACACACACACACACACACACACACCCATCACAATGCCATCAAAGGAAACACCAAACAGGCCAGCCTTCTGTAATGCCACAAACCATCCCAGACCAGGTGCCACTGTTCTCCCCTCACTGTCCCTCCCCAATCTGATAGCCTAAAACTCACCTGGGCTGACCATCAAGCAGCAGCTATCTAAAGTGCCAGGTCTTCAACCCCCTGAGAATTCCTGACTACCCTGTTTGGAGGCAGCCCCCAGGATGAGGAATATTATTATAATGTGCATGGATGGAATGGATGCCACAAAGAATTTTTATAAAGGCAGGATGCGTAATTGCATACACAAACTCAATGGCTAAAAATATGTATATATAGGGCCAGCCGAGTGGCTAGTTGGTTAAGAGCGCAAGCTCTGAGCAACAGGGTCGCCGGTTCGATTCCCACATGGGCCAGTGAGTTGCGCCCCAGCTGAGCTGCCACTGAGCTGCCAACAGGTGGCAGGATGGCTCAGCTGGTCAGAGCACATGCTCCTAATAACAAGGTTGCCAGTTCAACTCCCACAAGGGATGGTGAGCTACACCTACCCACAACTAAGATTGAACACGACACCTTGAGCTGAGCAGGTGCTAGCTGACGACGGGCAGCCAGATGGCAACTGGACTTGGAGCTGAGCTAGCTGTGCCCTCCACAACTAAGATTGAAGGACAACAACTTGACTGTTCCCCTTCCCCAATTCCCCAATAAAATCTTTAATATAGATAGATAGATAGATAGATAGATAGAGATATATAGATATATATACATATATATGTATACACACACATATATATATATACTTTATGTATAGAAAATAAGACTCTGGGTTAGTTTGGCTTTGGCTTTTTCAGGGAGAGATGGCACAGGATTAGAAGAATCTTCTGGGTCATGCTTGTGAGGTGGGTTTACAATTAAATATGGGCTGGAAATTATCCTGTGGGGCCCCTAGGTATATACTGCCACCTTGGGCAGTTGCTGTTTTCAGGAGCACTTTGCTTCTTAGCTCAAGGGTTCATCTAGTTAGGGAGAAGGCCTTGGGCACAGCATAGCACTGCCCAGCCAGCACCACTCGAGGGCTGAAGGAGAGCGTGCAGAGCCAAGCTAGAGACCTGTATCAGTCAGACAGATGGTGCTTCCCCAGGAGTGTCTCAGGGCCAGTCCATGGCAATGGCACAGCTGTAGAGATCCAACCTTCCCATTCTCAATATACTAACTTCCTGGCACCAGGTCAGCGTCAGTCATGACAAGTCTTCATTCAGGCAACTTAAGCCAATCAGGCGCGCGCATGTTCTCTCTCTCTCTCTCTCTCTCTCTCTCTCTCTCTCTCTCTCTCTCTCACACACACACACACACACACACACACACGCCTGCCTCCTCCAGAACCATCACCTTGAAATCACAGTTAGAAACACAGGTTAGTGAGAATGGAAGCACAACCACTGTCTGTCTCTGTGGCTGAGAACTACCAACTGGAAAAAAATGGAACCCCTAAGGAAGATTTTCATAGTCAAGGTCAGTTGTTATCCCCATCCCTGAAGTTCTGTCTCTTTTTACCAAAACTATACACCTCGCTGACTAGAAAGAGCAGCTCTGGCCAGATCCGCTGTGTGCCCTGTCTTCACCTGGCTCTGATAATGAATGTGTGTGCTAATGTGCAGGTCTCACGTCCACTGACCACCATGGGATGTATAATGATGGGCTCCAGAGAAACGATGCTCAGTGCAACAAACCTGGTCCATATGCACAAGGATCTGGCTGCAAGAACAGTGAAATATTGGGACAACCTAAATATCTGACAAGAGGAGATGGTAATATATATACATGTAGCTATGAGGTTATAGGTTGCAGTGGCGTGGAAAGGTTGTCAAGCTATGTGAAGTTAACAAGCAGGGTGGAAAACCAAATGGGCACGGGCACAAGCACCCCCCTAGAAAACAAAATGAAAAGTGGACTCAATGTTACTAGGTTATCTGTGGGTGCTAAGATTATAGGTCGCCTTTCCTTTCATCTTGTTTGCCTATCTCTGCCAATGTAAACACAGATTATAAAGTAAACACAGCACACTCTCGGATCGCTTGACACAATATGTCACATTCCAGATGAAAACTTCTTCATGAGAGAGAGCTCGATCCTGTTTTATTCCAGGCATCTTTTCCCAGGCTCACTATCTAGTCACCGAAGTGTCCCCAGTCAGTCTGTTTCCTGGGCACGGTGCAGGGGGAGCCCATCTCCAGGGCGGCAGTGCCGTGGTGCTCACACCGGTGAGGGAACAGCGCTCCTGCCCTGAGGCCCTCCTGGTCTCCCCAGTGGTTTTCCCACCCTCGCTCCTCCTCCCTCCACAGGCTACCTGCCAACTCGAGGGACTGACATCAGAAAACAAAGAGCAAAGAACTACACGTTATCATCTATCTGCCAAGGCATATCCTCAAAACACTAAATATCCCTCTTTCCGATAGTTTTGCCTTAGAAAGCTGGCAAAGATTTGTCAAAATGATAAACCCAGTGTTGGCACGCATACACTTACTACAGCAAATATCCATGGGGAGTAGTGATAGTACCTTCCTAGAGGACAGGTTAGCAAGCCGTATCAAACTCTGAAAAAAAAAGCGCATGACCACTGACCCATTTCTAAAGGAAATACTGTGCTTCAGGACACGCACAAAGAGGCAGCTTCCAGAACATTAATCACAATGTGGTTTAAAACAATTGGAACAACGTTAATGTCCCTGGTCAGGAAAACTGTTAAACCAGTCACGGTTTGCCCATATAAGAGAACACTGTGCAGTCATTAAAAGTATGTTGTGAAGGACTAATGAGTTGATGAGAAAGTGTTCACAACAAGGAAAAAAGCAGATAGAACAAGATTCCATTTTTGTTTTAAAACTATATATATGTTTATATATAAAACCAAAAATAATATAGTATACATATCCATATGTGTGTATACACACACACGGATATATTATACATGGCTATGGACATGTATAAGTCAATGTACAAACCACAGCATCTCACCTCTAGATGATGGTATTACAGGGTGATTTTAAAATTATGTACACTTTTCTGTATTTTTCAGTTTTTCTTCAAAGAACATGTATTACCATCTCTAATAAGTTTTGGTTTGCAGGGGGATTTTTGCTTGTTGTTTTTTTTTTAAAGAAATGTCCCACTTTTACTCCTCTGATTTGAAATTCCTTTCATGCTGGCTCAGATTTGATACCTAACATTGTGGTTAAAGTGGTTCCCAGCTGATGAGAGCAGAAGAGAAACGCTTTCTTGTTCTAGAACATACTCCTGGTTCTCTCCCCTTCTACCATCATCAGCTGCAGCTTCCCAACTTGTCCTTTCAGAGCCCTACTGGCAATCCACTGGGTCAAGCCAGGCTCCCACCTTTCCTTCTAGCCACTAACCCCATTAATGAGGCAGTAGAACCAGGGCCTCAGAACTGGGCTCAAGATCCAAGGAGTGGGTGTGACAACAGTGACATGCTCCGAGGACCAGAGCGGGGAGGCCAGGAGAAGAGAAGGAAGCTAGAGAAAAGCCCAGCAAAGAGCAGCAGAAAAGCAGTGCTGCAACACCCGCCAAGAAAACTCTCTCAGTGCCATGTTTGTGAGAGTTGAGCTGGTCTCACTGCCAACCATAAAACCAGTCTACTCTGGGAGCGCCCCTTCCCCCCACCTATGCCACCACATCCTCAGCCCGGGACCCAGATTTCAGCCCAGCAAGCTCCCACTTACTCACATTCTCAGGAGTTTCCTTGTTTGCTTTCTGCCTCCGGAGATCTGCCTTGATGAATGCTGAGATTGAGGGATCGAAAAAAAAGAGCAACAGAGACACAGAGTTATCAAGCAGACCAATGGTCAAGTTCATCCAAGAGAGGGAGCCCTCTTTTTCCAAAGGGTCATAGGTATTACAGACCTACTTTAGACATTTCAGGGAGCTAGGGGTATTGTCACCCAACTTGGAGGTCACTGCTGCCCCTGACAGGCAGACGCCAAGGATGACACTGGCCTTCATTTCCAGATCACTTATATTTGCCAGGGAGTTGCAAACATTGCTCTAATCTTCACAATACCCATTTTACAGATTAGGAAGCTGAGGCTCCCAGAGGTTGGTCCACTTGCCCAAGGTCAAACAGCTATGGAAGTCGGGGTCACAGTCTGGGATTCAAACGAGGATTTTTTGTCTCCAAAGCCCAGGTTCATTCCATCAAAACATGTTATTACCTCCCAAACAGATTTCCTGACAAGTCCTACCCCATTCTGCATGTGCACCCCTGATCTATACAATCAATCATGACACTAAGTGACAAATTGCCTAAGCCCATCAGCAGACTGAGCCTTATTTTGTCCTAAGGCTCCCAACTCACCAGTGAGGCCTGCTCCGAGGGTAAGAAACACACACAGAAAGATGTTCCCAGGCATGGTTCCATAGTTGTCGATAATCTGGCCCTGGGAGACGGTGAAGATGATCCCAAATACCTGGACAGGTACAAAGAAGAATGGAAACAAGTGCCCAGGCAACTAGCCCACAGTAGAGTTGAGATGCCATAAGGCAACGCCTGTGCCCGCCAAGCAGAGCAGAGAACAGAGCCACTGCTAAGGAGCCACCATTGAATAAGGCCTACCTGGGCAGCCACGTTGAGGAGGCCAGATGACATGCCTTCTGATTCTGGGTATGTCAGCTCCACAGCAAACTCAAACCCCAGCGGGAGATAGCCGGTCATAAAGAAGCTGCAGGCCAGATCGCAGAAACAAGGTGATGGGAGCTTCCATACAAGAAGGATGATGAACCCACCTCCTCCCTGGGAACTCCTTTTCATGTTTTGTTTCTACCCATCAAGAAAGGCCAGGCCCTTGAATGATAAGACCATCCCCTAGATGGCCATACCAAGGAAAGAGAGATCCCTGCAGGCCGGGAAGAAGTTCATATGTAGGCTTTGTACTCAGAGGGATCTGGGGGTCTCCTGCTTCTACGTCCAGCCATCAGTTACAGGCAGGGCAGGGATGTCTGGAGTGTTCAGCCCTCGGCTGGGAGACTCTGTGTCATGGATACTCAGGCCCTGTCCTGGGAATGGGAAGTCTCTGGTTCTTGAACAGCCTCTCCACGACTCTGGGGCCTGAAAGGAGGAGCTCAGAGTCCTTCTTATTTCCTGCCAAAGAGTCACCAGCTGAGAGGGGCTAGTGTCTGTCTGCCTGTCTGTCTGTCTCTCTCACACATGAGCTGGGCAGACACCCATGAGAGGGTTACTGTTTCCTACGCTTTCTCATACAACAGGTCTAGAAAACTCCAATTCTGATGTCTTACATCTGCACACTTCTTGCTGCTCTCACATTTGTTATCTCTCTCAATCCTTCCAACAACTCCACAAGGCAGGCCACTCTTATATTCATTGACAGATGAGGACACTGAGGCTCAGAGCAGTTAGGTAACGTGCCTGTGGTCTAATAGATAGCAGCAGAGCCAGGGCCAGGGCCCAGACTTTCTGATTCTAAGCCCCGTGTACTTTCTGTGACCCCGTGTTTCCCCAGGCAGACCTAAAAAGACTCTAAACGTGTCCTAGCCTCCCAGAGGTCTGTGAAGAACATGCCCCATCCTACCAGCATGGATGGGCTTGGAAGCCCCAGGAGGCCTTTTGAAGTGCTACCGTTAAACAAGACCTTTGGGGACCATTTCCATATCTCCACAGAAATCAATGAGAAGGCAGTAAAGGGACCAATATTACTTCCTAGGATGTCGGCAACTCTGGGAGCCACGGGATGGTGCTTTCCAGTTAAATATGTTAGAGGTGAAACTTACCCCAACATGCCAGCTGTGATGAACACTACCCACAGGTGTCCCAGGCTCAAGGTCAATGTGTACACCACCATGCCCACCAGAGTCATGATATAGACCACCAGGGTTGTCTGCCTACAAGCAGAAACAAAAAAGTTGAATCACAGACTTCTGCCTTTAACGGAATCATTCATTCATTTGTTCGTTCATTTATTTATTCATTCTACAAGCATCTATTGGACACCTGCTGTGTGTCAAGTCTTCTGCAGTGTGTGCTAGGACATTTGCTCATAGAACTTTCTGTCTATCCACAAGGTTGATGGACACTGAACCAATGATCGCACAGATAATTATTTAATTTCACTGTGGTTATTGCTACAGAGGGTAAGAACAGGAGGGTCTGAAGCCATCTTGCTGCATGTGTGTTCTCTTGCAGAACCCTCACAACAATATCAAGCTGCACTCTGACTTGACATGTCCTACTCACAGCGAGAAGGGCACAGCCTTTTCTCTTCCTCACCCCCCAAAACACAAACAGGACAAACATCAGCTGTGGTCACATGGCAGTGGCATGCAGGATTATTCCAGAAGCCATCCAATTCTTCCTGTCTGCTTTGACCCAAGACCCTGTGACAATGCTGAGAGGTGATCTGATTTTTAGAGTCTCTCTGTCACCTCTGCGTTCTTCCTGTTGGCACTTGCACAGGCACAGCACAGCTTTTCCTGCTGAATCTGAACTACTCCACTGCAGACAGCAGGAACTAGGAGAGAACATTCTCCAGCCCTGAACTAAGTGCCTGACTCCAAAGCCACAGTGAGAAAGCTCCGCCAAGTCCCCTGTCACGGATCACTTTTGGTCACCTGAGAAGGTCCATCAGCAATGTGCTGGTTTGTTTCAGGCCCACCCTGCCTATGCCCCTCCACTCACATCTCCTCCCACGGGGCCCACTCGACTCTGCTGTGGCCCTGACTCCTGCTTGGACCTTCATCCCTCTTTTTTGTCCTACTTCTTGAAGGGAACCAGACCTGCACATCCCCCCGCCCTCCGGCCATGAACATCAGGACTTGGACGACTAAGGCCTAAAGCCGTCACACATTTCCCCTGAAGCCAGAAACACAGTGGAGGCATCAGCAGACATACGTATACTAAAGTAATGTCAAGCTAATACCTACATTTACTGGGTGCCCAAAATTCTGTTACACATTTTACATGCATTTATTATTTCACTCATCCCTTATAAAAGTCCTGCAAGAAATGGATGACTACCCCTAATTTTACAAATGAGGAAACTGAGGCTCCGACCAGTTAAGTTACTTGTCCAAAGTCACCCGTCAGGTAAATGCAGGGCTGGGATTGGAAGGCAGAACTGGGATTGAACCCTGTCCTCTTTCCACTACTGCACACAGGAGTACCACTACACTGTGTGGTTGCAGCTTTGGAAAAGCTCAAGGCCAAAGCCTCTGGAGGATGTCCTCCCACCTGGTGCCTCAGAGCTGCTGGGGAGAGGAGCGTCGTCCTTCCTCCACCCTGCTCCCCTCACCCAGTCCCACCCACCCTGCAGAAAGTGACTTCATGGACACCAGTCTCTCTTGCCGACCCCACAAGCTCATCTTTCGCTATGTTTGTTTAACCATAGCTTCATCTTAAGCCACTGACCCATCTAGTTAAACGACCTGTAGTCTTTTAGAGAAAGGGTCCTGAACGTCCCATTTTCGGCCTCCAAACCAGACAGGACAAATCTGGGAGCCTTAGGGAAAAGAGAATTGGCACCAAAATGACCAGATCACAGAGTTCGCTCATCCTTTCTCTGCCTGGGTAGTAGCGCAGGGAGAAGGATGTCTCATGCTGACTGCAGGATCGAGGCATGAAGTGATGCTAAGGAACTGGTGCCAGCTAGGTTCTGAAGTGTCTTCCCCAGCCCTTTCCCTGTATTTTCACCGAAATCATCTGGCTGCCCACATCCTGGTCCAGCCGACATTCCAATCCCTCCTTCTGCCACAGAGCAAGCCCTGGAAACAGGGACAGTGCTGTTCACTAGGTTGGGGATGGCTCTCGAGTCTGGCTTAAGCAAGCAACTGACAGATGACAGAGACGAGATGGCAGCCAAGCTCCACCAGCAGTTAATTAAGCCAAGCCAGGTTCCTCGTCATGTCCAGCCAGGCGGCCACATCCCCTGGGATGGCCTCAATCGGCCTTTGAATAGGGCAGCCAGAGTGAGACCTGGTCTGACCAGAGCCTCACACAAGTGAGTTAGTGTGGCAGAGAACAGGTCTGCCACTGTCTGTTGCCTCCAGACACTGAGAACTTTGGATGCCTCGACAAAGCAGCCCGGATTGCCGCAGGACAACCCTGGTAGCTGCACCACTGGCCAGCATTAACTGAGTACCCAGTGCATGCAGAGCACTGAAAAGATGCAATAAGAAGGGATGGATGTTGGGCCTCCGTTCTCCAGAGTCTTTTCTCTGAGCCTGGCTACTGCATTGAGGCACCCAGGTGCTTTTTACAAATGCAGAGTCCCCCACTGAACGGGCATCCACAAGGCTGGGGCCTAGGAATCTGTGTTTTTAATAAGCATGCTGGATTAGCCTGACATACACTAAAATCTTAGAAAGTCTGCCCTGGGCTCTTAGAAATGCACCGGGCATTCAGACCCAAAGCACATCACAATATTTACCAACAATGTCTCAGCAGTAATAATTATCTGCATTTATTACCAGATAATAAATACACTGCAAACCAAAGTAAGCATTGTGATTAACCCCATGGGGTCCAAGAGGGAGCCATGGGAACAGGCCGGTGGAATCACCCCCTCATCTCCACTCTGGAATTTCCACAGACTTTCCAACTGCTGACATTTTCCACACTCATTTTCTTTTCTTCCCCATCTTGCCCCTTCCATAGTCACTTGGGGGGTGGTACTTCGCTAGGTCTTGTGTCCCCTATCTCTAATCTCCCTAAGCTCCCCACAGGGCAGGTATTATTTCCTTCATGTTACAAATGAGGAAACTGAGGCTCAGAGAAGATAAATTTGAACTGCCCTCTTGACCACTCAGCTGCCACACCCAAACCTTTGGAGCCGTACTGGCTAATGAATATGTCATTTGAAAAATGGGTCCCCAATTTTCAGTCCAAGAGGAAGAATCACTTACTTGTAGGTTTTGGACCTATCCAGCCAGATGCCTGAGATCATAGCCCCAAGCATTCCCGAAATGACAATGGTCAAGCCGATTCTTCCAGCATTCACTTCTTCCCCCTGAGAAAACCACAGCCCCAACAATCAGGCAGCAATAGGACAAGACACAGACAAGTGCAGACACCATGAGGTGAAGGGGCAAAACCAAGTAACTCAGACTCCATTAGGGCCAATTCTCAAAGTATCAGGTCAAGATGCCTGCAAGAATCTGCCAACGGGGACAAAATCCTAGAATAGTTGCTCCTCCCAGCAAAATATAACCCCAGATGTGTGTACATCACACTGAATGCTGGGATGTACCAAATTCTGTCCTTAAAACCACTTTTAGATAGGATTTAAAAAAACAACAACAACATAATCCTGACAGCAACTCTTTTATTTATCATTATTCCCATTTCACAGATAGGAAAATTGCAATATGTATACCCAAATATTCCATACTTAGGTGTTTTGAGCTATCGGTGCCAAAAGGGATGGGAAGATAAGTTATAGATTTCTGAGCATTTATGATGAGCCAGGCACCATGCCAAGGATTTTACATCATTATCTCATTTAATTCTCTTAATTCACCACCATAAGGTTAGGCATCAGTAGTCCCCATTTTTCAGATGAAGAAACTGAGGCACAGTGAGATTAACCTACTAGTCTAAGGTCATGAGGGATTTATGAAGTCCAAAGCCAGGATCTGAACTCAAACCTATCAAACTCCAAACCCAGAACACCTCCCACCTCTGTACCTATGAGACCCTGTTACTTTCATAAGAGGGTTGGACCTGGGGTTCCTGACTCCAGGATAGTCAGTATCCCATTCCCAGCATCCAGCCCTCACTGGTTCTGGAAACGTTTAGAAAAATACTTTCAGTTGAGCAACTAAGAGTTCAAAATTAAACCTTGCCCACATTTTATAAATTAAATATTTCATATGTGATTCTACATGTATATATGGTTACCTACTGTGTTGCCAGGCACCACGCTATGTGCTTTACATATATATAATACATATGAATATATACATATACACGCGGTATTATTTACTTTGTAATACTAAAAATAATCTCTCAATAAGTAATCATGCTTCTTTTGCAGAAAAGAGGATGAGAGCTTAGAGACACTAATTAGCTCGTCACATACATTAGTGCCACCAGAGCTGGAGTTGAGACCCAAGGCTATTGCCCTCCAAATCCTATAAGCAGACCACCATACATACCATGCTGCCTAAAACTGGGGGAACCAAGAATTCACACCACCCCAGCTCCTGCAGAAACAGACTCGGAAACCTCACTCTCTCCAGGCCCAGCAGGCTTAAGGGACTCCCTTACCGGGTAGTGTAAGATCACCATACGATTCAGCAGAGTGGATACGGCATAAAAAGCACCAGTATTCAGACCTAAGGAGGGAGGGAGAAACACAGCATTAGGGTCCACCTTCTGCTGGGGCCACTAACTTCTCCCGCCAGCGGTTCGGGAGGTCAGAAATCCTCACCCTTGTTGCCACTGTGAGTGGTGTCCTCATCAGAGAAGAAAGACCCAGGGAATATAAGGCTACTCTGCAGGTTTTCTCAATGAAGCACTCCAAAACAACCAAAAGTAGCCATTTCAACCTATGCTTAGCCGCACACCGTTGCCCTCTGATCCCTTTAGCCCAGCCTTAGAAGCAAGGGCTCTGGAAAGTAGGACTCCCAGGAGGGAACCATCTATATTCCTCTCTTAAGCGTTGGCTAGACTACGGCGTAAGTGGAGCTACTGGGCACCTTCCACCTGCCCCCGATGACCTACCCCCTCTCCAGACCTCAGATCCTTGACACCACTCCTTCTGCAAGTGGTTTCTCACCTCCTTCCCCATCCCTCCTTCAGCTCTCTCCTCAGATTCAATGTCACACAAAATCTTATATTTAAAATCAGAAAGGTCCCTAAAGAGCATTTAGTTGACTCTTTTCATTCATTGACTCATTCAACAAATCAATGGAAAACCTACTGTAAGAATCTGTGTGCTCAGAGAATGAGGTCATTTGTCCAAAGCCACACAGTGGTGAGTCAGTAACTAAGATGAGACTGGAACTGACCCAAAGGAGAAACGGCCTCCTGCCCTCCCTTCCGAGTAACAATGATGCTGATGATGGCGGCGGCAGCACATACTAATGAACCAGACCCTGTTCTAAGCACCTTACCATCCTCCCAACACCCTAGAAGGTAGGTAATATTATCATCCCATTTTATAGATGAGAAAAATGCACACAGTTTAAAAACAAATACAGAGCTTTCTCTGTCATGCCCACCAGGGGCCTTTTTCATTTTAGCTAAGCCTTGAGGCTCACAAGACTACCACTGGCACACTTACAATAGATCCACTTAGAAGGGTATAAGCTAGGACACAGCTATCGGACAGCACAGCCTTAAGAGTTCCTCTTCAATGGGACCAGTCCACAGACGCCCAGTTCATCAAACCACACAGAAGTCATTCTCTTTGGTCCCCAAGGTGATGGCTCAGGTGCAGGGAAAGGTGGGTATGGCAACAACCCTGGTTTAACACCTGACGGGAGCCACTGTTGCCTGTAACAACTCCATAGACATAGGTTCCAGGGTCCCCATAAAGGACAGGCCAGTGAAAAGTGTCACCATAACTCAGCAAAGCACAAAGAATGGCTTCTTGCCAGGGGTGAAAAGTTCTCCCAGTCCAGTTGCAGTCGTTTTTATCACAAGAGGTCATTTTTTAACATAAGTAAC